AATAAATATCAATATATAAAACTGAACTCTTTTCGAATAAGTTCAGCGTTTCCTAGTGCTATCCATTTCCGATGGCTATATTTAGCTTTCCTTTCATTAAGTATATGTTGTGAAGTCAGGCAGGTCTGGAGGCAAATGATGGACAAGTATCAGATGAGCAGACCACTGATTTATTTAAAAAAAAAAAAAAAAAGAAGAAAATACCTGACCTAAAAAGTGTCAGGAAACCCGGCATTGGCTCTGCATGGGAGGAAAAACAGTCAGCAAATTAGCTTGGTCTTGATTGTAGAACACGGTGTAATGTAGTAGATCCAATGGAGGTCCGTGGCATTCTTTTCATGGAAGAATTTAATTCTCTACCTGATACTGTGCACACGTGTTGCTTGGCAGCATGACTTCATCAAAGTCCCAAGACACAGATATCGGCCAGCTTCAGGTCGTGGCGAGCGTCCCTCACGATCACCTGGTTTCATGTGTCCTTTCTGCAGGGATAGGTGAGCTGAGACGAAGAAAAGCGGGAAATAAGGCATGGCAAGTTTATTTGTATAGCACATTTCGTGTACAAGGCAATTCAAAGTGCTTTGCAAAGAATTGAAAAGCAGAAAAAGAAAGGAAGAGGATTAATCAACAAAATAAATGAGATAAAAAGTGAAGGGTGCAGATTAAACGCATTCAATTTCCATTTGCACAGTTAAACAGAACCGATTTCAGCCTGGATTTAAACATTGTCAGAGTTGGGGCCTGTCTCACGTCCTCAGGAAGACTGTTCCAGATTTTAGGAGCATGGAACTGAAATTAAGCTTCACCTTGTTTAGTTCTGACTCTGGGCACCATCAAGAGACCATAACCTGAGGTTCTCAGAGTTTGCGTCCACTGAGTTTGTCCATGGTCTTATTGAACTGTGTTTATCGTGAAGTTCCCCGTGTTTGCTCCTGTCGCCTTCAGGTGTGGTACAAATGAAGGCACAGTTCCCATGGCAGTGATTAACATGTCAACCATTCCCCTTTTATGTCCTGCCCTTTGACTTTTTTCTTTGTGGTTTTGTTTCAGCTGATGCTCGCTGCTTTAAGATGTTTGGAGCCAAAAGGCTGGAGCCAAAGTTTATTCTGAAACTCCTTCTTATTTGCTTTTTTGGAGACTTGCATACACACCAACTTAGATTCAAGATTCAAATATTGTGCCATTATTCTTCCTCTGTATGTATGTATTGACCAGGACGTCTACTTGAATGGTAATTTTTCACTCTCCAGTCGGGCTTGTGTGCGTGTTGAAATGAAATGCCGTTGAAGGTGGAGTAAAACGTTGGACACATCAGCAGTTTTTATTTTTAGCTGCCAGTGTTAAGTATGTAACCTGTTGGTGAGATCTGAGTAATGGACTGTCTGCCCAACAAGCCCCCAGGCTACAATTAGAGGAAGCCTCTTGTTCCCCTCTGTGTACGTATCTTACTCCCTTCTCTTTTATCTCTCTCTTTTTTAACTTCTGCCTCAATCCGTCTCGTCGTCTGTTTATCTGCCTTGATTTCTCTCCGCCTTGCCCTTACCTTCAGCCAGTCAGTTTAGAAGCCACCGGGGGAAAAGTCTGACAGGTACACACAATGCTGTAGAATGCACACACACACAAACTGACAGTACAGTTGATTCAGACTGATGGTGGAGAGTGTTGATGGATGTAACCTCCCTGCCTGTGCTAATGCGTTTTTAATCCCCTCGTATTTATTGTGTCATCTGTGAAATGCAGTTTCTGTGCTGCTGAGTAATATTCCTGCTCTTTTTTACGTGCTTCCAAAAGGGTAAATTCTACTCTTTTTCTGCTTTAGTTTTCCTTTGCATTTAACTACTGGGGGAGAGATTTGCATTAAAAGATTAATGTTCACCTGTTTTTGTGGACAGTTATTTTCTTGACTTTGTGCATTCGTTGCCTGCATCCCTGTCTAATAACCACAATGGTAACATTCCCTTCCGAATGCATCTGGTTCATACAGGTTTAATAGCCGTCATCTTACTCCTGTAGAGAACCTTAATAAAATCTGCATGGCTGGTTCTGCCAGTAGAAAACGATCCAAAAATCCTTGTTGTTAAATTTGTAACCTATCTGTCCTTCCATATTTTTGGATTATTGCAGGATTACCCTCAGTCAAGAAAAGCCTTGTCATTTCTTCAGATGTGGTGCTGTCTCTCCTATCCTGGTCTTATCACAACTGCACATCCTTCTGTTCTTCTGTTACCCCTGCCCGGGAGCTAACAATCACTAACATCCATCTGGATCCCCCTGACTGTTTTATTCAGTTTATTTTCTATTTTTCATTTGTTTGTGTCAGAAAAAGAGAAATATTCATAGGTGACAGTTGGTGTGTAGATGCACGCTTATATATTTGGCACATTCAGTGAGCCATAACAGCCATCGGCAAAACACAGAGCATCCCGAGGACTGCAAAGTTTTCTGATTATTGATATAACTAATGAAAGAGCGGGGTATGATGCACATTAATGCCGGCAGCGAAAAGCGAGGGCCTCTGCCCTCATTTCTTTGGCTTTTTTTCTGTCTCTGTTGTTATTTCTGTAAATCTATTTGAGCTACGAAGACCGTGTTAAAAGGGCTGAATGAATTAAGTCTGATTGATGGATTGATTAACTGAAAGTCTACCTGCCATATTTCAGCGAACGAGATAATAGTGAGAATTGTAGAGCCTGTTTGTTTTGCTCTGTGTTATAATGCCCATTAGTGATGTAATGGAGCTCCTGTCAATAAGTGAAGCTGTTTATCGGAGTGAGGTTTCTTTCGAATAACCTGATGCCTCCCGCACATATCAATGAACTGGTATCTCTGGCCACTGCCATGTTAAAGTGGCACTCGTTGCTTCACCTTGTGAGCTAATGAGGGTGAGGACAGCAGTAACTGTAGCTTTGTTGTGCTTGACCTTTGACAAGCTTGTCCTGAGAGCACACCGGTACGTGACATTTAGTGTATGAGCCATCATGTCAGAGAAAAAGCTTTCCTTATAAGGCTGCGCACTGACAGGCTTAAAAATAAGAAGAATTGTGGGAAATGCTAGGAAGTAGATTTGTGGATGTAAAGAGGGGAAGGGAAGGAAATGAAGCGCAGAAGAAAAGGAACCTGACAGAGAATTGGAGGGAAGAAGCGGTTGAATTGGTTGGACGGCAAAAGATAAGGTAGGAAAGAGGAGAATACACGAGAATAAGGAACAAAGGAGCTGGGAGAAAATAATTAAAGAAGAAAATGTGCAGGAGGAAATTATAGAAAAAAGAAGGGAGGGATAAAAGACGTGAAGGAAGGGGATTAGGCAGCGTAGAGGACATCCTCTTCTGTTTTTTGGTGTTTTTGAATAATGAGGCTGTTAATTAGCAGAGACATCCGTGGTTTATTAAATCAAAGTGTTTACAACTTTCACAGCCTGGCAGATTTTTGCAGGTCCTCCCTGATGTGCCCTGGTATTTACAGCACCATGAATGTGTTTGTCATGATGGGGTTGTGAAGGAAAAGTAATCCATTAATCATTAGTATGTAATTATTTTAACAGTGAAGTCATCACTCAGAGTCATACAAAAAAACACACAAAAAAGTGTTTTTTTTGCAGTTGTCCTCTAAAAAATAGCCTTCTGTCTTCCTTTTGTCCAAATAAAGTCTGCCACTGGCCTGTGATGATATCAGCGCGTGTCATTTACTGAATGTACTGGAATGTCCTCCATTCCACGACTCAAAATTAGAAAAACATGGAAGACAAGAGATGAAGTTGGTCAACAAAAGATTTCTGAGTAATTCATTTATCATTTGTTGTTTTAAAGACAGACACAAAAATGAATTGAAAGAAAAAAGAGAGCTCTTGGTTCTTAAGGGAATATTTCAAAAGTTTTAACCGATGAATTTGCTCCTTACCACCATCACATTAAGAAAGAAAAAGTGTACTACCATCCTTCCTGAAGAGCTGATTCTGATTTTTTTTTTTTTTTTGGAACACAAGCATAATGTATGACAGTTTTTCCAATTCCAACATATAATAGACAGAGCGACACACCACCTCTTCACTACAAATCTCATTAAGGCATTACACACAGCTGTGCCAGCAGCTTCTGTCTGAAACATTATCAATCTTTCTTTAAGAAGATAAAAATAGTGTTGCAAAATGGCAACATGCTAAACAAGGACTTGTATTTAGAAAACCCCATTTGTAATGTAGTCCTGTAGTATTGGATTGAACGTGTGTATAATTGAGGTTGCTTGGAATTTATACACCAGTGTTAATTTTAACATTAAATTGATGTGAATTGGTTGAACCCAATATGAGTGTTGCCATTAATAGAAGTCAAATTGTATCCTACAATTTTTAATGATACTTTTCTTTTAATCTCTTACTGAATTTAGCAATCTTTTTGAGAAGACATCCATTTTCATTTCTTCAAGTTTTGTGAAGTACTTGTTTGTTCATCTCAGAAAAGCTTTTAAAAAAGACAAAAAGGTTTGTAAGGTTGCCTTTAACTGCTTCAGCTGTACAATTCCCCCAAAATAAAAAAAGCTTGCATTCCATGGAAAATGCAAATCCTCCTAGCCAATAATCCCACCATCACAGAAGCTGTGTGTTCACACAGAGCAGGGCACAAAATCTATAGCAGCTGAGCCCACCGACTCAATTACATCTGAGCTCCCAGTGTAAAAGCAAGCACACAAGTCTGTTAAAGCTTGTTACATGCGTCACCTTTTTCATTATATCACATAATAAACTTCCAAATAAACTTCACGGGTGTGGCTGTTGGAAATGAATGAGTTTAAAACATTTTTAAAATAACTTTCGGTTATGCTGTAGGTTCTCCCCGTAGCTCTGGAGGGCCTTGTCAGTGATCTAATGCCTGTATGTGTGTGGAGATCTTGGTCTGAGAAAGTAATAAGACAAAAAGCGGCTGAAGCCCGGGGAGTATTCCAGAAGCTAACAGGAAATAAAATGAGGGCTCATTTGTAAAGAGTGCTTTTCCTGTGTGTTATAGGACTCGGCGCAGGAAAGTGTCATCACTCGCGATATCCACCGAACGTTTCCTGCACACGACTACTTCAAGGACTCGGATGGAGATGGTCAAGATTCCCTGTACAAGATTTGCAAGGTGAGCCCAGGAAATGACACAGAGATGTATTTAGCCGATAGTCCACCCTTACTGCACAACCTTTTACCTTTGCATTACAAAATGATGGGGGTACACTCCTTTCGTGGATGTGCTTTTCAGTCTATTCACCATCACCGGGGCGTGTGCATAATGAACTGTAAGTACAGGCACTCCAACCCAGATAAAAAGTTTTGCAAGAAATGTCTGTGATAAAGAAAATTTACATCTTAGACACCAAAGATTAATTCTGAATTATGTTTGAAAATGTTTCATATGAAGTTTCTGTGGCTGTAAACCATCACACTCTGACCAGCGCTTCCTTGATATTGACGTTTTATACATTTTTGTACAATTTAGCTAAATTAATGGGATTAATTTTCATAACTGGAAAACAACCCAGGATTATTTCCCAAAACATTATTCTGATTTATTTTTTTGATCAAGCTACTTGACTTTTCATAGAGGGATTTCTGATTAACTTTTGGACTTTTCCTTTTTTATTTTGGGGATTTTGAAATAAATCCACAACCACAAAAATGGTAAGATCAAATCAGTTTGTAATGTTTATTTATTAAACATAATTGGGGGCAAATATAAAGTGTAATTTGCTGCAATCCAAATTAGATTTAGAGGTATGTTTTAGAACTTTTTCCCTTGTGTTTTCCTGCCTCTGCAAAAGTAAAATATGCTGGTTAGCGCTCTGGGAGAACCTGTCAGGAAAGTTTAACATCCAGTCTGGACCCAAGTAGGTCAGTGGTGAGCCAGCCTTCATTTGTATGCAAATCCATGTAGATTTTCAGCTGATAAGGTTGGTTGGATCTTGAGGCTTTCCAGGCATGGAGGACCCAGAACAAAGTTTATATTCAGCTTCATATTGTACTCGGTAATAAGCCTTAAGTTTTTCTTTTCTAACCTTTAACTTTCTGGGGAAAATAAAGATTATCTGAGCTCCATGCTCCTTGTCAGTGGTGATCTGTTCCTTCTGTTAATGTTTCATTCTGTCAAACATCTGGGCATGGTCTCCTGGAAAAAGCTATCTTTAACAACTTCGGCTCGGTCGACAACACACTGACGACTGTAAACCTGTAACTCTCAGATAAGCAGAGCCAGACAGTGAGGGAATGCTCTGTATTTCCATGGAAACAAATGAAACAAAAGGGTTGAGAGAGAAGGCAAACATGACAACACATCAACACACCTCATCAGTCAGGCTAATGCTGCGTGTCCCACTAATCACTCAGTGTTTGCTTTCACACATTTTTGTACTCTTGATGCAAGTTCCAGGTGATTTTCTGGTTACTATTCTGAGCTGCATAAAACACACTGCCAAAAAAAAAACATGCTAGAATGTAGAAATTGTTTTTATTAAGTCCATATTTGATCATTTAACATGTTTTTTCATGTTATACATTTCATTATTAATTCAAAGGGAAATTAAACAAGGACAAACATTTAGTGTTTTGGAATCCACTGTTCACTACGAATCAATGGAAGAAAAACGTGACGGGTTGTTTCGAGAAGAGCTTGTACAGATACAAAGTTTCATTGTTCTATATTGAGATGAAACTATAATACCTAAAACTTTCCAGAGTTAGGTAGAAACTAGGCATATCCTGTAATAATCCACCCCTCTGAGCCTATTATCTGCCCAGGCGAACAAATTTAGATTTCTCCCACCAGGAACTCCCCCCATCCATCTGTCAGCATCCACTTCTCCCAGCCGAGTTGGGGACGTGTGAATGCCACACTCCATCAAGCATGTCAGCTTGTAAATTACACCACAGACATCACCACAAGAGTTCTCCACCAACTCCACATCAAACACCAAATTAGCTCAACACATCAGCAGTGGAGCTCTGAATGTCCACACTAATTATTCAGGCACGGAAAAAAGGGGAGACAGTCTTTTAACCCACTGCTGTTTACTGCTATTACCATCAATTTGTCTGTTATCAGGTGTGCGTCCTTCGAAATAACGGAGCGCAATATTGAGCCGTTGCCAGCTTAGTCGTTTCACGTGATTCAGGCAGATGGTTTTGCACATCAGCTTATTAGAACAAACTAGTTGTAGGTACCTCAGAATGAGCTTCGGTATGCTGTGTGGAGCCCCATTTACCTGTGATTCCTCCAATAAAAGCAAATGTTAGAAGACTTTCAGTGTATTTCTTCTGGATGTTAGTTGGAAAGTAACTGCGGTTGTACTAATGATCTTTTAAATGGAACTTATTGTTGTAAAGTTAGTGGCTGACGGTTCAGTGCCTCACACTGATCTCACCTGTAATGATGCAAGGCAGTTATTCCCAAAGTGGCGTTGATCATTGATGAGCTGCAGCACTCCGTTATTGAACACTGATGGTGCCTAAGGTTGGATGTCAACAAGACAAGGGGGAAGGGTGGGGGTTAAAAATGTTTGGTGCACACAAAGTAAGTTTCTTACTTCTGTTGAAGTTGTTAGACTTTCTTAAATAAAAAATGGAAATATTAGACTTGCAAAAAGAAACTGAATATAAGTCACCATTAAGTTTTCTCACGTCCATCTAAATAAGATGGATTTAGTCCATGTATATAAATCCTAAATATATGGACTGCTCTTGTCCAAATATATGGCCAATTTTGTTGTATGTCAGTTATGATGCAGCCTTTGGAAAATTCTAGTCTTCTGCTACCTGCTTTCACTTCTCTTCTTAGAGGTGGAGGCTCAAGGCTACAACTGGTGGCAGCTATTGTGAAACACACACGTTTTTGGACTAAATTCTCATTGATTGAATATGCCTATGTTAATTGAGAAGAATCCACTGAACGAAATAGAAACAAAGATCTTTGGATGCACTCAATTACACTTTTGTACATATTAAGTTTTGGTAAGCTCTGGTTTGTTTTTGATCAAATTAAAGATGTTTGTCTGTTTTTTTTTGCTCTCTCTCTCTCTTTTGCAGGCCTACTCGGTCTATGATGAGGAAATTGGTTATTGTCAGGGTCAGTCATTTCTTGCTGCTGTTCTCCTTCTACATGTAAGTAAATCATTCATTCATCTGTTAGTGAAACCCACCTTTTCTTAATTAATGCACACGGTCTTGATAATCTGATACAATTTGATATCATACATACCATGACCTCATATTCTTTCACAGCTATGACATTTATTTCCTATGCATTCAAAGGGTGAAGTTCCATTTCTATGTACTCAATTTACAGCCGGTATGTTCTTAGAAAATAAGCAGAATTTCAGCTTTTACTGTAATATTTATTTGAAAGATTAGTGCCCTCTGATGCTTATCTCCATGAGCAAATTTTCCAGATGAAACTGTAGAGGAATATGATGTAGTGATATATTGTAATTAAAGGAACATCCATCAAATGAAAGCTAACCAAACATGAATAAATTATCATGATGGATTGCCTGGCAGCAGAGAGCACAGTAAACAACACAAATTCATACTGACTAATATTCCAGATATGCCCTTTATGCATATGTATGCACTCAGAAGTCAGGATTTCTTTACCTGCTTATTATTCGCTTAACCCTTTTACCACTGTTATATCTTTGTACAAGGCAGCATTTTTTTTCCCTTTCAAATGTATGTGTCCAACAGACATATGTTCAGCTAGAAAATGGATATAGTTGGATATTAAAGAATTCAACTCAAATATACCCAGATCAAATATTTAATACATTTTCCTATTAACTAGACAATAGTTTGAGAAGTTATCAAGGTTTTAACACTTACACAAAGAAAGAAAATAAAGAGTTTGCCCCTTTGTGTTCCAATTCTGCAGCTGGAACAATGAATGACAAAGCACAAGCAAAACAATATCGCAGCCTGAAAACAGCCTTAGAAAAGTGGACAAATAGATTTGTTTTATGAAAAGAAAGCTGCAGGCTGCTTTAATGAAAGCAGTTCATAACAAATCTGAAAAATGTGGTCGTGAAAGGGTTTATTTTTTTCTGCAATGCTATTTGTTTGAACAGAAAGGAACAAAAAATAGTCCGAGAAAGTTAACGAAAAGCAGATGGAGGAAAGACGGAATGGATGACACACGGAGGCGGTAGTCCCAAACGGACGAGAGAGCGTAGTGGAAGTTTGGTCGAAGTCCAAGTGCCAAGGGCAGCAGAGGTTAAAGAGGAGTGAGACAGTTGGGAAGAGGAGAGGCGGGAGGTCAGGAGGAGTCGGGGTGAGGTAGTAGAGTTATGGAGGGGAGCTCTGAACTTAATGACACGGTGTGAGGAAGTAGTGCCTTAGAGGGAGATGAGAGGAGGGTGTTGTGTAGAAAAAGGAGGGGAAAAAAGGAGGCTGTGCACTGGAAGAGAAGGAGATATAAACCAGACAGTAGCTGTAAAAGAAGTAGAGGTTATACGGGAGGAGGAGGAGATAGGCGGATTGTAGAGGAAGAAAAAGAAGGAGGGAGAGGTAATAGAGAAGATGTCAGGAATATTAATAGGTGTTCAGGTTTACCTGCAGGAACCCATTCAGGCCCAAACATACACTGTCACTCTGATTAAATATCCCTCCCTGTCGGCAGCCGTTTGTGTGTGTGTTCAAGGAAAAATAAACCCAGTTTTACTCACAAACACAGATTTAAGCTCCCTCCAATACACCTTATCTTCATCCATCTGAACAACACTCACTCTGGAACACACAGTTTTAGTTCAATACACACACAAAGGGAGGCGCATTTCTTTAATATGCAAATCCCCAAAGGTTTGTCCTGCTCATCCCTCTTGTTCTTCTCAAGTGCTTATTCGGAACCTGTCAGATGATGTCAGAAATGAACTGTCTCATTTGTCTTCTTCCTGTGATAAGCAATAGAAAGGTGGCCGTCTGTAAAACCTTGGGAAACTAAGCCTGATCAGATCTCTGCAGTGCTTTTGGTGATGTGTGGATTAGAAAAAAACAAACATTTTGTGTGAATACCCAATCCAAATAAAAGCCTGTTTTTCTTAATCGTGACAAGCACAATTTAGATGGTTACTTATTAAGTTTTCTTATGCAGGCGACTTTTTAATAATTGGTGTATAACGACTACTATTACAATGGGATTTGGAGTAAATCAGTCTGGATTGTAACTCATCAGATTCATAATTGCCTTGAAGTGATTTTTTGTTGTGAATTGGTGTCATATAATAATCAGAATTGAACTGGGATTTTCATGTTTGCAGATGCCTGAGGAGCAGGCCTTCTGTGTGTTGGTGAAAATCATGTACAAATATGGCCTCAAGGCTCTCTACAAGAATAACTTTGAAGACCTGCACTGCAAGTTTTACCAGCTGGAAAGGCTAATGCAGGTAAGTTATGAAGCAGTTCTGAATTTTTGAAAGATAATTGAATTTTAATCAATGTAATTCAAAGTGAGACCATGCTAAAATCAGAACGCCGAATGCATCGATGAAGGCAGTCATTGAGAGATATTTTTATTAGTTAATGGAATTTAAGTTTGTGTTTACAATTTAATTCGACCAACTCATGAACGATTGACCTGTGGAGGTTCATGTCTCCTAGCATTTGTGAATACAGACATAAATAGCTGAACATTTCCCCCTCTTTCTTAACTTCTGGTGGCACATCTGTGTTCATTGATAATTTTCTTTTCAAAAGTCCTTTTGCTGTAGTCGAAGAAAAGATTAATCCTCTCACTCATGATGTTGCCTTTGGGGGCAATTCTGTTCCTGCAAAAAATTGAAATAGTTATCCAATAAAGTTTAAATACCATGAAATCTGCTTCATATATCAAGCTGTTACCAAGCTTGTTACACAGACACGTCTCAGCCATTACTTCCAACAATATTTTGATTTTCATAATGTTTGTCTCTCCTGATATCGGATCTCTTCCATGTTTTTGTAAATACTTTTGTATTTACTTTTGTAAAGCTTGAAATCTTTCCGTGTTTTCATTCATTTCCCTGGAATATTGTGTGTAAAGGCTCCTTTATTTCAAGTATTGCAGACTAAATCCACTAGAATGTGTTTAGTTAAACCTTGAAATACATCCTGGCCCCGCTGGCAGTTATCTGTCAGCAGGGCGATTGACTTAGTTAGCATTGACCAAAATCAGAGTAAGCGTATTAGGATTGACTGCTAATTGGATGTTATTTGACACGTGGCTGTTAAAGTTGCTCTCTTTCTAGCTAGTTGAACATCTCAGTGTCTGTATGTGTGGGGTCAACAGCACATGTGCACTCTTTGGTACTTGAAACAAATACCTTTTTTACCAAGTAGCATTTGATTTTAAATGTTTTGTTTAAAAACATTCTTTACTAAACTATTTACTAGGACATAAAGAATGACAGATAATGTCCTTTAAAGTAAAATCTTTTTTCTACTTTCACTCAGAGTGTAAAGCACCACTGAAATTATGTTACATTTTAAACAATGATCAAATTCAAACTTTTGGACGTGTTGTATACGTATTTTAGGTTTCCACCCCCTGTCAAATGACTTGATTTGATTAAACTGCTTTTCCTGCTCAAACAGGAACAGCTTCCAGACCTGTGGGCCCACTTCCAAGAGCTGAACCTGGAGGCACATATGTATGCGTCCCAGTGGTTTCTCACCCTGTTCACAGCAAAGTTCCCGCTCTGCATGGTTTTCCACATCACTGACCTGCTGCTCTGTGAGGTAAAGACAGTACACTCTATCTCAGTGCCAGGACATTATATAATTGAGTCAGATAATGGGAAACATGACAGTAGAAGAAAGAAGAAAGTGGGGAAGGTCAGGAGGAGGAAAGAGGGTTGTGGCAGACGTTTGTGTCTTAGAAGGAAGGATGGAAGTCATTAAAACGATAGAAAAAGAAACCAGAGATATCTAAAGGCGGGAAAAGGGTTTGAGCTGAAGCTCTGACCAGCTATCAGCAGCCACAAGTAAAGAGCATTTAGGAAATACCAACAGCATTTATGCATCTGCAAACTGCTCAGGCTTTTTGAAAGGTCGATGCTATCAATGCTTTAAAATCACTAGGACCACCAAATCCCTAACTGATATAGATTTATACTTATTTTTATCTTCAAACAAGATCTTTGTGTCTCTGAAAACATGCTTTTAACTCAAAGGAGTCTGAACGTCTGTCTTTCACTCTTAATTTCACTCGTTCTTTTGTGTGTTTCAACATGATGAAATTTTGAAATAATGCAATTTTATGGAAAATCACCTGAGTCAAAGGCAGACTCTTTGAGGGTTGCTGACTTTTGTGTGCTTTCACCAATCCAGGTTAGATTATTTATTTTTGCTGGATATATCCAGTCATTGGAGGGCTCTCCTTATATCCTTGTGTGTGCAGACAACAGAATGGACAACAAATTGCTCCCAACAACAGCTTTGTATGTATGTTGTTGGATTAAGCTAATTTATGAAGTGTTAGCAGCATGTCACACACAAAATGGCCAATCTTTAAATCCTACACTGCTTTGTCCTCTCCAGTTCTTTTACAAATTGGAAACTACATTTATATGTTTACAAGCAGTCAATTATGTGTCATGGTGTTTGGAGCAGGTAGCCAGCTCCGCCTCTGTGTGGGAGAGAAGCGGGTCTGATTAAGGTGGATGGAGTCAAAATTGCTTATTACTCTGTAGTTGCCAAAAAATACTGTGAATCAACAAAGCTGAACAGATGCCTTTGACTTAAATAATCCGATTTCCTCTTTTGTAATTTTTTTTTAATTTATTACTCAGAATTCCAACATTCTTCCAAATATTTGACCGCCTACATGGTCAGGATGCATTTTCACTGCTGGATTGAAAATATTAAATATATGATAATAATATATTAAATATTTACAGGAAATGTTACATTTTTTAAAAGTTAGCAAAAAAAATTATAAAAGAGGGTGATTAAAATCTGAAATTTGAAATGGTCAATAGGTAGTTTTACATCTATTTAGATGGCTTGATTTCATTTTTAATGTTTCAATGAAATGTCCTCAAAAAGTTTTCTTACATAAACTGCCAAAGTCAAATGCTCTCCATTTTCTCCCCCACCTTTTTTTTTGTCTCCCTCCATCTCTTTCCACTCCTCCCTCTTTCTGTCCTCCTGCTGGCCTGAGGCAGAACAATTAAAAGTTTCCTTTTCTCACCCAATGAGCCGGATGATGAGGACTAGCTTGTAAAACCACGTCTCATTCTCTGAATCCTTCTTTTCGACTTTCCTTTTCCGAGTTCCCAGCCTCACGTCTCTATACTAATTATTTGTTTTCTTTCAGTATCCTTTTTTCTTTTTTCACTCCTTTCCTCAACAAACCTTTGTTTTCTTTAATTTTCTTACCAACCATGTCCTCTCAGTTTGCCTCATTTGCTTATTCAACCCTTAGCACTAACTTCATTTTTCAAAATATTTGAGATGGGCAAACTTCTCAATACTGACCTTCACTGGCTTAATTTGTTACTTTTTACTCAGACTATCTTTTCTATTTCCAAGTTCTCCCCCTTACCCCTCTTTTTTGTCCTTTTCTTTCCATTTGTTTAATTAATATCTCCCTTAATACTCTGCTTTTCTTGGTGAGGTCTTGACTAATTCTATTGTTTCACTCTATTTATTAGATTTGCCATTAGTGTGTTCCAGGTTGCTTAAACTAAAGTCACATTCAAATTCAAATGGTTATTTTAATTCATACAATTCACACACTATGTTTTGTACAATCTTTTATTCCAGATAGAGTTTCTCCAATGACCACCTCCGTTTGCACATATATCCTGTTTCTTAATCTTTTTCCTTAACCATCCCTTGAATCTGTCTCGTTATACACGCTCATTCAGAGCTGTTTTTTCCTTTTGTCAAACACACCTTTGATCAAGCCTTAGCACGGCAGCACCATCTTCAGGCCTACGAATATAGGTGTGTGGAGGTAGAGCTTCCCCTCTTTTCATTTTCTCCAGTTATTTTTGGAGCTGCCCAGATATTTTTAGCTCTGTGTTGCCATGTGAACCGGTTGTCCCGGAGACCAAGGAGAGGGATGTTCCCTTTGCATGGCAAGCAGCGGTTTTACATTTTCTTTTTGTGTCACAACAACAAACCTTGATTTAATAGAGGAGGGGGGAATAAGCATGTAGTCCCAGTTTTGGGACTGTAAGTCAGTCAATACAAACAAACAACTCCACATTATGGCCCACATAAGTTCGACTTGTCTGGCTGCATAAATCAGAAGTTAAACAAAGGAAATGTTCAGTGCGTTGTCTTTCTGTTTGGATTTATTTGATCTGGCAACCTTCACATTTTCACTTGTTTCATGATAACAACAAACTCATTCAAAGCCGTAAATGATCAAACCAGTGATGTTTAACCAGAAAAAATTTATAAACTAATGAGCAGAATTAAGCTTCAAGATGTATTATTTTTATCAGAAATATGGTGTTTTGTTGGGGTGTTGCTAAACATGGTGTTGCTAAATGTTAGTCTGGACTATGTTCTGGTGCTAAAAGGTTTGACACATCCAATGGGAATCTTAAAAGATTAAGTTGTTTTTTCTTCTTTCCTTTTTTTTTAAACTATTAGAGACTAAGTACTAAGATATAATGTAGTGACCATTGCATAGGAGGAGACATGAAAGTTGGCTTTTGAGTTAGAAGTGTTCTCTTATTAAAACTCCTCTTATCAGATACCTCTGCTAAAGTAAAAAAAAAATGCTGACAGCATAATTTTCTTGCAGTATTTAGTCAGAAAAACATATTGAGAAAAAACTTGAGAATGCTCAGGAATTTAGGCTGAGGTTGAGATGCAAAAAGATATATGATGAAATCAAATTAAAAAAAAACTATACTGAGCAACAGAGAAGATAAGAAAAGTATCTCTTTTTGGTATCCAGTTTGATACATACACTCACAACAGTCCAGATATTGCAGTGATAGTTTTAAATTGCTAGCCGAATTGCTAAACACTTTGAAGGTAGTTTTTTGTCATCAATTGGGAAAAGCAGAGGGCCACATTAAATGTATTCATAGGACCCGATGTAAATTAGTACAGCCTTTAATTAAGAAATAACTATGAATTGTAATGGTTCTGACCTTTTTGTAAAACAAAAACAGAAAATACACAGACTTGATATATGTTTTCCTATATTTTATAGATTCACACACAAAATTCTGTCTCTTCCAGGGACTGAACATCATCTTCAATGTAGCCCTGGCTCTGCTCAAGGTTAGTGCTGAATCATCTTCATTTCACCATAACTGCTTTGATTTAACTGTCAAATTAAGCTTGTGGAAGGTGTTATGGCATGGTGTGTGAGAGGTGTTAAGTCCTCAGGCTTTGAGTGCTTTTTTATCTAATTTTTATATATTTGTCGCCTCCTAGTGTTAAAATCACAAACTGCATCTTGCAGGAGGGAGAAGGGTCGGTATTTGTGGGGCAAATTAAGATAGCGAAATTCCAGGTGTCCTCTTTCTGATTGGAATACAATATCTCTGTTTAGCTCATGGTTTTGCATGTCATACTTCGCATTGTATTTGCTTCTGTTTTTCTCCGAGTGCTATCAGGAAGACGGACTAATCCCACCTGAAATAATTAGTTTTGTTAATGCCTAAATTGAACCATTTGATCCTCAAAAAACAACTGTGATACAGTACAGTGCATTTGTTTGTAAAAGAGGGTTAACATTTTAAATAGAGTAGTGGAAAGTTTTGATGACACTGAAAGATTTCCGTGGTTGTCATTGCCTGTGTAAGAACTGATGAGAGCATTATGAAGAATGGTTAATGGAAATCCAATGTCTCAACAACTCTTTGCTGTGCATGCCCACAATGTCTGTGGTCTGGTTGAGCGAGGTAGGATTTTATTGATCTGGAAATCTACCAAGAGCCCAAGTGAGTATTAAAAGTCTGCGTAAAAAGTCTGCGTAAAGTTACAATTACCTAAACTCAACTGTTTTAACTGCAGATGAGTGTGGTTTGTTTCGGTGTTGTTGTTGTTTTCAGTATCGCAGTTATGTGCACATGAAAGTAAAGTGGCATAGTGTTATTTGTGACCTGATCCGTTTGTGTCGAGACAGGTATCCTTTGACTTTTTAGTCTTAATAGTCACTTAAACTGAAGATCAATTGGCTTCTGTGTGTTTTGCAAAAAATCTGCTTATTAAAATGTAGAAGAAATTCTTGAAAACAGTGTAACAAATATATCCTGAATTCTTTTGTAAAGTAATTGTCTTTAGATATTACTTAAAATAGTGTGTGTATTTAGGAAACCTTATACTTCAATTAATAGCTTATTATACAAATAGTTAATGTGATAAAGAATCTCCCAGTATATGTTTACAGTCACAGTGGACAGATTTCTTGGCAAGATTAACAGTGGAAAAACTAATGAATAACAAAAAAATAAATGAATAAACACAAATGATTATTCCACTGTTGCAACAATGACACGCACATTTTGGAGAGCGAAATAACCTAAGGATGCAATGGTCGGAAATGGGAACAAATGAGGATGTGAGGAGGAGGAGTGTGGAGGGGGCTTCCACTGCCTGCTTTCTATTGGCCAGGCATGACGACATTCTCCCCCGAGGCTCCCTCCTCCCTCCTTCATCCATCCTGCACTCCTCTCCACTCTCATCCTCCCTCCCTCCATCTGTGCTCGCCTCCCTCCCTCTACGCTTGGCAGTCGCCATCCACATCACAAGAGGAACATAAGCTATAACGTTAGCAGTCTGAACCTGAAGGAGCAGAGCTCAGTGGTTTTTTTTGCTTTCGTTTTTTTCTTCCTCTTCGTCTTTACCTTCCACGGACGCTGACCTGAGGTGTCTTTCCCCCAGTTGGTCATCTCCTATCGTTTTTACCTTTTCCTCCTCTTTTTCTGCCTTTTCCTCATCTCCCTTGCCTGGATATTTATTTCTCCAACGTGCTACTTATATCCACCACTCAGACCTCTGCAATGGAGCCCCTACTAGCTGTTAGCTATTAGCTTTTAGCATCACAAAGAGCAAGAGAGGAGGAAGCGGTTGCTTGGAAAGGCTGTCTTTGCTATGCCTCACCCCAGCTAATGACCAGAGCCAACGTTCCTGACAGTGCAACAACACGCTGTCATCCCAACACTTCTGTCTAGTGCGTATTGAAGAGTGACAGAATTGACTTCCCATCAGAGCGAGCTGGCTTATCATCTGAAATATCTTCTTCAAACTGATTTGGACTGGATGCCCGCCTGCTTCTGCTTATAGAATATCTGCTGGGGGACAATACACTGGAGTTCATGCCGGAACCTCTGACTGGAAAGTACTTTTGCAGCTTCAAGTTGTTTGGATCGGTACAGAGTTTATGCCGAAGGATTATCAATCAACGGGAAAAGCATGTTATTTGCAACTTATGCTCTTTTTTAGTGTGATCTGTTTGTGATTTAGTGGGTTCAGCATCCACTCAGCCATAAACCACTGTAGAACTTTATCTCTTGTAGGTACTGAAGGAACAAAACCCATCTTGACTCTCCAAGCTTGTGAGGGGAGATAAAAAACGAATTTCACAAGAACGCTAAAAATCCTTTGGTTTTATATTAAGGCCCCTGTTTTATTTGAAAAAGGGGCCACAAAGCATATTGACTGCTTTGATGACTGAGCCCTGAGGGTTAAGGCCTCACTGCTGTTCCCACTGAGAAGAATTTTCTCAGCCTCTTTGAAGACCGATAACGAGGGAAAAATAAAAGGAAGAAAAGGTGGAGTGCTTATCAGTCGCCGCATTTGCCGGAGCAGCAGCCCACGTGTCGTTCAGCCGTGTTGCCAGGCAACAGCATACTGTATTGGAATTGGTTGGAGGAGTTTGCCAAAGGAAGATGAGAGTGGGAGCTGTGACTGGGTTTCAAAGGGAGTCTGGCAGGTAGCTGGAGATCTCAGCATTATGCTGGGAGGGGTGCCAATACGTGATTTTCTGACTGTGATCGTGTTGCACCAGAGGGCCACCTCTGGACTCTGACAGTGGTACAATCTGAGTGGCCTCTTCCCAAAAGTCGTCCACTTGTCGAAATTCGGCGGTGCCCCACATGAACAGGATCCATCCCAATCTTTCACGCCTGGGATGCGGAGGCTCTGTCAGCTCCTGTGCGAGTTTACTGAGCTTCCCGAACGTCGGTCTGCCGTGACTGACCAGTCGATCACAGTGGTCGCCTGGACTCCTTTTGGCCCGACGCTGAAAAACGACTCGCCCCAGCTGAGCCCGTACCACTCCCCGCTGCCGTTCTCTGACACCCGCTGTGACACTCCCGCGGCACGCTGGAGTCATCTGCCACCCTGGCCCCGGAGCGGGACCACCCCTCTCCCTTGCCCTGTCCCACCCCTCCACCGTCTCCTTCACACTCTCCCCCAGCCTCTCCTCCCCCTATACCGGCCCACACCCAACACCTGTCCCTTCCAGCGGTGTGCAGGGCGGTAGAGGATGGAGAGGGGAAGGCGGAAGAGAGCGCCCACAGCGGCCAAGCCTCAGCAGACTCGTTCTGCAGGGTAATGGATCTCCTTGGGATGGGACACCGTCTCTTCGTCCCCAGGCTGCTGGCGGTGAGACAACGGGGACAGGGAGGCATTTCCCGAATGGAACAAATGTGCAACAGCATGCAGTGGTGGAAGCTTGCTTGACTTGTGTTGATACAGGGAATTATTGGAGAGGACAGTTGATGTTGAAGCAGAACCACAAAAACTAGATTAGGAACATCTGCTCTCCTGCTATTCTTAACTCGTTTCCCCCTTTCATGTCTCTCTGAAAGAATGAAAAAAGAGAGGAAACACAGATTGATTCAGCAATGTGATAAGAAGAAACTTTGACCAATTACCAGGGTCTGTTTTTCTATTTAGAGATAACTACTCTGAGCATGTAACACAGATTCTTGTTTCTGTGCATGTTTCACCACAAGATGGAGGTATACATGGAGTATCTGTTGTTGACTAAACCACAGCCATCAATCTACTGTTAATCTATTTTGTCAAACAAAAACTTTACAGGGATCATGGAGGCAGAACTATGTAAGTGGAATCAGTTTGGAGATCGATTTTAGGGGGATGTTTTCTTCCTTAGTGAACGAAACAGGAGAGCAACGTCTCTTGGCTGCACTGATATCCCTTATAAGTTTTACGTCCAGTTAAATGTAACGTAATATAATGGCTGTTCTGGATAAGAGTGACAACAAATGTTATTACTGAAAACACTGAAGTTTATTTAGTCCTGGATTTTATAGGAAATATTGTATAAAGCTGCTGGTATTATTAGTAATGTTGCCATGGGTTATGCTCTGATTTTAAGGATATGTTTGTTGAAAAAATGGCATAACTTGGAGTTTGTGAGCTACAATTCATCCACATCAGTGTTTTTATGTCTCCACCACTAACCCTGCTTTCACCTCTTCTCCCTTCAGACATCCAAAGAGGACCTCTTGCAGGCAGACTTTGAGGGGGCTCTGAAGTTCTTTAGAGTCCAGCTCCCCAAACGATACAGAGCTGCAGAGAATGCACGAAGGCTTATGGAGCAGGCCTGCAACATCAAGGTAGGAGAGGGGTTCCACATGCAAACATGTCAAAGCGCTGACCATTTACAGTCTGTTTACATCGAATTTGGACTTGCAAAGCTTCAAAAGGACAATCTTTTGCTCTCCTAAAACTGTGACGACACAAGCGCACATGTAGGTTATCAAAGGAGATTATTCAAGGATTTCATTCATACCATCTCCTACTGAAACACCAGTATGTAACCACAGGGGTCAGAGGTCCATGACACGTCTTGCTGTCGTTCGGACCTACTCTGTGATATTCTGGCTGTAAATGAAGAGAGGTGCATTTTAGTTCTCTCTGTTGGATCTTAAGTGACAGTAACTGTTTTTTGCACTGGTTGCTGAACAGCTAATTGAAAAACTTTTCATATATTTGGTGTATTTTGTTTTGGGGGGGTTAGTTGTGTTGATCACTTTGAGAGGAAATAAAATGAAGTCGTACTTTTTGTCAAAATAGATCCCTCTGGCTTTGTGGTACTGAGCATTTTCTAGCCTTTGGAACATTTAGAAGGAATAGGAACAACTCAGATGTGCCCTGAATGGATCTCTGTTTTCATTTGAGGTCTGAGGTGCTGTATTCTGTTGTTGTCACATTAACCATTTACCATTGGCATGCAAGGCCTGACTTTCAGGGATGGCTTTCATTGATTTCCTCTGAAATTGCGAGGCGGTTTTCTTTTAAATTCCTTTGGACACGTATGCTATCATCTCCCTGCTGACCTTAAAAAAACGCGGCAGGCATTTGGGGAATTTACTGTAGTCAACAGAGACCGGAGGGGGACACATTGCATTTTGGATGAATGTATGTGTTTATGTCAGCAGTCCGCGGTGTGACAGAGGAAGGAGAGAGTTGACAGAGAAAGATAGAAGAGATAAACATCTTTTCTCCACCCTGTTGTCATTTGTCAGCTCTGTGCGCCCTCTGTCACTATCCATGGCTTTCTGAGATTTAAAAATAAAAATGGTATGTTGTTGCAGACATTTTCTAGCCGTCTAGAAAAGCTTTGAATACCTAGAATATAACATGCTGTTTCATTCAAGAGCACTTTGGGAGCAAAAATAGTACAAGTGCTGAGACCCAAAGTTTAAAATATATCTCATATATTCTGAGTGCTTAGATCACTAGTGTTTGATGTGTTTCTTCGTTTTACTACACACAGGATAGCAAGACCTGTGACTCACTCTTCATCGCAGCTTGTTTTGGATTATTCTAGTTGCCTTGCAGAATTTTGCAGAAATATAAGCAAATAACATGAAAGCACACTTTCATCCTCATTTTATCAGCCTCAAACTTCAACCACAGCACCTGCCGTCATCCTTTTTCACACAAAGTCTCTACAACCGCTTTTTGAACATGTCAACAGAGAAATGGGTAAATGGCAAAATAGAAAAAGAAAGGGGAAACTTCTGCAAATGAACAAAAATGGTTCTACGCTTGATTTTGGTGGCTTTGTCTGTTTAAAAAGTGAAGGACTCAATAAACATTTGCAAAGCAGTTTGGGAAACATTGAAACTTTTATGATCTCGGCCTTATCTGTCAAATGATAAACAGTTTTTTCCCCCCCTCAGTTTACAGAACCATTTTTCTGGAAAGTACTTAGCTGATTCATCATTAAAACAAACATGCTGTGTAGAAGGAAACTGCATGTGTGGGCAGGTGGAATTTAAATATTCAGGGGTCGTTTCCTCAGCAGAAGGAAACAATGTCTGTTTCTGCTCATCTCTTGATTATCCCCTGCTGACCTGAGTTTCCTCTTGAGTCAGTATACCTATATTTCACAATTATCTGTCTTTCACAACCCTTATACTATGTTCCTTTTGTCATTAGTGTTTTGACTTTTGCACCTTTCTCAAATGGGCATTCACACATAAAATGACATAACACAGAAATATGTCCCATTTATGTTGTTTCATTTCCTTCACAATCACCCCCTAACCCTTTATAACTCCCAAATATCTTAATTTTGCTTTGACTGTTTCAATTGGCTTTATATAGAGCTGTGGTCTACAGTTGAAGTTCTAGATATTCGTTGAATTAAAATTCAAATTAAGGGATTCTGCTACTGTAAACATTTAATATTGTTGCTAATTTAGCCAAATCATTTTGAACCAAATATTTTTGGAAAATGGACAGCTAATTTGTTATTTTAGGCCAAGTTACGCAACACCTCACACTGTCACACAAAGCACAGTCAGCACAAAGGAAGTCACTCCTCCACCCATCCAGGTGAGTGGTGTTTATCATTGCATTTCATTCATTTGCTGGCTGCTTGTTAGACACATTGAATGCATCTTTATAAAAGTATAATTAAGCTGGCAACAGATTGGCAAAGTGTTGGCAAAACACTACAGCATATGAGCAGCTTGTGTCCAGTAATCTGGAGATGAAAGGAAAGGGCCGTAGTGGCTAAATAGCTACACTCTTTCCACCCACAACAGATGGGCTGTTGCCATTCCTACAAGATATCGAATAGCACTTTTAGATCAAAAGAGCCCATCTAACAGTACTGTCATTCGTTTAAGGACTGATGATTCTTAGAGACTGAGGGAAATGTTTCAAACCAGCTTGTCTGAGGCGCATTGCCTTCTCCTCACCCCGTTACACATTTTTCTCTGTCAACGTTTAAATCGGATCAGCTGAAGTCTATAAGCTGCTTTAACCAGCGAAAGAATTCACTGGCACCTTGGCTTGATGAACACAACGGGCAGTTGGGTGGATTAGCCTCTCTGGGGATTAGGGGAAGAATTTGAATTTCCCAGCCTTCCACATCCCGGACCACAGCTGGAGCGGCGGCAAGAGAAAGAGACAGAAATGTCAAATATTCTTCTGCCGCTCAACCCGGTTTAAAACAAAATCAGGGAGAAGCCTGTGTAAAGGGAGGTTGAAAAGTTGAGAGGTATTTGGAGGAGGAAAGCCGTGTAGTCACAGAGGAACTCACAGTGAGGGATGAAGACTTCAAAGATTTAAACATACGTTCAAACAGACTACAGCTTTAGAGGAAGTTTATATTATAATGTGACATAAGAAGCTGAGATCTGAGGACCAAACACATTAATGCAAATGATGCATGTATAAATTGTAACAGTAACACTAATGTGCATAATACACAATAACACAATATCACAGCTAACAGCTGCAACAGATGTACTCAAAACACAATAGTCCAATTAAACTAAATAAAAACGACTCAACATCTTTCTGACGTAGTTAATGAACGCGTTTTATCAAGTAGTTATGTTTTTTTTATTGGTCCAGTCAGATCAAGTTAGACTCCAATCTCCACCAGCTTGTCAAGATGTGGACCCAAGATTTCAAAATGGGTTAATAAACCGTTTGTGACTTTAGCTTTTATTCACGGCTGCTTGCCCCTAAGTTCCACCTAAACAGTAACATGAAAACTGGCTGAAACGCCAAACTTTGCTTTTTGGTAAAAAGCATGAAAGGTACTCTGCTTTTAGAGATACATTTTTCCTCTAGGACTATTACCTTGTCATTACTTTCAAATGGTAAAAGCATGATCCGCATCTCTCCAGAGAGCAGCCATCTATTGTTGGCCATCTTGAAAAGGTTGTCCGAAGGATTTTAAATGTGGGTCCATTTGGAGGACACCACAGTGTTCCGGCATCATCCAGGGCAGCTTTGAATTTGCTTTCGCTTCACTTAGTAGATTCTACCGTTGGAACGATGTGTGACTGTGAAGTCACTGTGGTTTATCTGACTACTTCCTTCCTATCGCTCTCAACCTCATGCAAGCCCTCACACTATAACTGTGTCAACAAGCCCTTATCTCGAGTTATTTTACCAACTCAGGAAATAGAGAAAAAGAACATCTACAAACTGCAGCCCGAAAAGTGTACGAGAGACTCCAGATGGGCTGGAGGGAGGGGCACTGATGAAAGGGAGCAGAGAGAGGGAAGTGCTCACTGGAGAGGAAGAAAAAGCAAACTCATCCTCCTTTGTCACACACTTCTAGCGTTACAGAGAGGGAGAGGGAGAAACAAACAGGTGTGTTGTGCAGCCCTCTCGCTCCCCACTGCGCCTCTCCTCCTCCTCGGTGGGCGTGGCTAAGCTCCTGTGGGACTCTTGAAGGCAGCCAGTCGCCTCTTCCACTCACAGAGAGAAAACAAAACGTACCAGCTGGGCTTCGCCACCTCTCGTCCTCCTTTTTGCTTCATCCCGCTCTCCTCCTCGCTGCTGTGAGCAAGCGGGAGTCAAGATGATGCAGGAGGTGTCCATCATGGTGGCATATGACGCCCATGTAGTCGACCGCCCTGGGGAGGAGGACACTTTGGCCCGCTTGGTCGCTATTTCAAGACCACTCCGCGCTCCCAGACCGGTGGTAGGTCTGCTCTGACAACTTTCCGTTTACTTTCGTCTCCTTTTTCATCCCGTCTTTCTTTAACATCTCTTCCGTGAAACTGTGCTTTTTTTTCTTTTCTCATTTTCCTCTGATGTTATCAGCTCTTTGCCTTATCTTTATCATTCCTATTTCTCACAACTCTACAAGGTTTTGCTCGTAAGAGAGAAATGCTCATTTTTTCAAACCGAAACACTTTCTTTCCATCTGGTTGATGGTGTGTATTCATGTCTGAATGTGTGGGTGAGCGTTGTTACCTCTGAAACTCTTTCTGAAGTCTGAGGTTTCAGAGCTTTGTCGGTCGGTTCATGCAAAACTCATTTGTTGCTGTCAGTTTGTTTCAATTACTGATAGAAATTTGGAATCAATGGAGACCTTGTGTCTGTGCGTTTGTGTGTTCGTGTGTGCTTCTCTTCCACGTGGGTAATTGAATTCAGTGGCCTAGTTTTTCCTCAAATGTCCAGCTGGTATTGTCCTTATTTCAATATTCAAACTTTGTGGCTGCTCTTTTATGCAAGAGCAGATTACCCTTCTCCACTTTGCACACAGGCAGGGACACACACTTTTTTTGTGTGGTCCTGGATTGGAGGTTTGGGACCAATTCCATTTTCAGTTGCAGGGATTCGGGTCAGGGATCTAAAAGTGGGCCTGTTACCAATTCCTACGTCCTTACGCATCTTTGATAAGCACCTGACTCCGTCCTAATGCTGACCTCTTGCATTTTCAGAGAAAGCCCTGTAAAATCAGTATGGACTTTGATGATGCACTTTTGAGGTTTAAACTTTCACTTTGAGAAAATCTATGATATATATTGTCATATTATTGTTTTCTGATAGGGTTGGAAAATTGCGATGCCAGTGATTTGAAAGATGTAGCTTATTGCACTGTTTTCCTGACAGTGGATAAAAATATCTATCAAATGATGTGTTAAAAATAGCTGTTGGAAATCGTGCCATTTCTGCGCAGGGAGGTTATGTCAGCGATTGAGAGAAAAACGCCTCAAAACTGAAGAATGCCAATGAATTTAGTTGTTGTAATTTTATAGAAACTCTACAGTGACATGTTAAAAGAAGTGTTGTCCAAATATTTCCTTTCAGCATATTTAATTTCTCTGTTAAGTGTGAAGAGAATTTCGGATGGGTGGAATGGCTCATTAATGAGCAGCTTTATTCTTTGATTCAGACTTAATGGGAGCATCAGAGTGTTGCGAGTCATTTCTTGTGGCCCTCTCAGTAAACAGATGTGATTCGAATTAAAAGCCTATAGGAGATTGTGGTCTCTCATCTTAGACAGAGAAGATCAGGGTTTTCTTTTGGATCCATGTTTCGCCACAGGAGCAGATTCCCACAGGCTTCCCAACGTGCATGGAAGCTGCTACAACACCCTTTCACCTAGTCACGTTGCCCGTATGTTTCATTTCACAACATCAACAAACTAAGAGGAACAAGAATTGGAAAGCCATTGAATTTTTCTATCTTGTAACTGGAGCTGAAGCGGGACTGTATGTTTGAATAACGGCTTTGCTTCTCATTGATAGGCCAGGCCCGTTTCAGGTTTTATTTAATTACTCAGTACTACTGCAATGTTTGCGTGTTTAAGGGGTGTTGGAGATCAGCAACCAGATCTCAGTTTCATGAGATCTCCATTTCAGCAAATGCCTATGTAGATGGTTTTCTTGATGTAGTTTGTTTTTTAGCAAAAGCTTACGCAGTTACTATCAGAATTACACACATTATTGTAAGTGAGACAGCCCGCTGGTACTTCTGGAAGGTTTCCATTTAGTAGGAGTTTTGTTTGTTTGCCTGTACTGTGAGTGTGGAGCTGAATTAAGATCCAGTAATTTTGTTGATTTTAGGGGAACAGTGTGTTCACTTTTATCTGCAGTGTTTTGTTACAACAAGGAGGATTATTCAAATGTCTGCATGCAAAATATGCGCCTCTTTCTTCCCACAGAAAACAGCAGAAGAATTTTAGCTTTGTTATCTGCTGAGGAGGTGTTTATCAGATAGATTAGGGAATCACATTCACACACTTCAGGGGCTAACTCACTGGTCAGTGGGGAAGAACGGGTAGTGATTGCTCCGATGGACTCCTTTAATAATTATTTCCTCATCTGTTTTTACTAATAGACTCTGCAATCTGGTTAATTGTTTTCTAGATATTTTACTGGGTACTTTATTTTATACTTTTCCAGGAGATGATCAATGTGTTTTGTATTCCAATAAAGGCAAAAAGCTTTAAGAAATGCGGTTCCTTTTGCTTTGATGTGGTATTCTCATTAATCGTTGAATGCGGTGAAGGAGAGGAGGAGGAAAGAGGGTCACTGTAGATTATAGATATGATTATAATAGAGCTGTCTCTGAAGTGAAGTGAAACTAGGCTACTCTCATGATTACTGTGTCAGACCTGAAACATGATTTAAGCTTGAACACAGAGCCCGATGAAGGACGTGTTTTGTTCTTGGTGGTTTTGTTTTGTTTATTTGTATTTGTATTTGTATTTGTTTATTCGTTTTTGTAAATGATATTTTTTCCATAGTTTGTGTTCGTTGTGGCTGACAGCATCAGCCTTGGCTTTGGATTATTGGATTGAAATATACCTGTACGCATGAGCATCCATGTTTAAAATGGGTGTATGACTTGATCTGAATTCAACCCAACGAGGACCGGCATACATGAACAAACATACACATGCTAGTCTCAGAGGAGGGGGTCATGTGACTCAGATTGGCCTGGAATCCCCAACCTCAATTGTTAGCACTATGGTGACTCTGTTTCCAGTGTGGGAAGGTAACATTATTACCTAACCGAAGCCGACAGTTACAGTGACATGGATACAGGGAAATGAGTCGGTCAAAAAGGTTCACTTTTTGCAGGTTTTCCTTAACCTCATTTTTAAGACGTTTTTAAAGAATGACTATGACCTTGCTTACTTCAGAGTGAATTGCAGAAATGTTTGCACAACAAATGGGGAAGTTCTGCTTTTACTATTGATTCATCTGTTTGCCACTATTGCATTAGATTGATTTGTTATGTTCAAACTAGATAGCATGACTGGATTTGGATGGAAAAAATCCAGTGAAATTGCTCTGAGGCCTCAGATTTGGCCATATTGTTAATTGTACAGAAAAGGAAGGGAGGAATCATCTTGATGACGAGTATTTGTTCACTATCCTTTCTTACGAAGAAGTTCTATTAAATCCATCTACAGCTGTTAAATCCATCTGCAGTGGAAAACCATTTGACTTAGCAGGCAACAATAAATGGGTTGATTACATATAGTTTATAAAATATAAAAATGCGCTTACTACTAAACCGAGATATTTAAGAATACAGATGGAAGGCGTTGCATTCAGGACGAGCTGGTCGTGTTCATGATGTTTCATTTGCACCTTCAGATTAACACCTAAACATTTTTTGAGTGTAAGAATGACTTAACTTCATCCTTTATGTCATGTCAGCCTCCGGAAGAAGTGAATGTCTTGTGAACTCTGGAAACTGAAAGTTTCCAGCACATGGACAAATTCTAAGAAAAATGATGACATGGTGATTTAGAAAAAATGATGTGTCAAAGAGCTCTTGTGTACGCACAACGTGGGTTTTTGTGTTTTTTAGTCTCTGCAACAACTATGATTCACAGGCCCTCAGTTTGCTCTAATGTTGCTCTCTGATCCCTGCGATCATGCGTGCTGGTTTTCACCAGACAGGACATCTCAATGGGTCAACTGCGGTCACCTTTGACAAATTCACCACGTAAAAAAATGTCTCTGTTGTTGTCAGGTCCCAACCAAAAAGCTGAAGAAGTTTGAGAGGGAATATCAGACACTGAGAGAGAGCCAGCTTCAACAGGAAGACCCCATTGATCGATACCAGGTATGACAACACACCACACATTTGCTCCATTTTGTGGCTAATGTTAGCTGATGTTTCAAACACATGCTTTAAAAATCCTTATGAATGTATAAATGCATCTATATATTATTATCTATCTGTCAGTCCATGGTCTATAACCATCTTTCACGGTATATTCTACAATAGCTTCTTATTTTTTTGGAATTCATCAGGTTTCTAAGATTAGAAATCTTATCTGCACGCAGCTTTGTTTCGTCAAACTCCATCTGACTATTTGTGAAACCTATTTTGACTTGAGGTGTGACTTATAATACATGGCTTTAATCATCCTAAAACACTGACTTTCCTAAAACTTATTTTTAGGTGATTTTGACAGTCTCTTTTTGACACGCTCAGCTGCAGCTTTCCTGTCTTCCTGGAGAATATTTATAGATGATAGCAGCACTATTCTATCAGTTCCGGATTTATACTATTCCTCCATCTTCCTCTGGGTGCAAATCTGTTATTAACATTTTTACCAAATATTTTTTTATGTCTGAAGTCTTTATTCCTTTTGAATTACCAGGAATAATGTGTACACAGCATTTTTCTTTATTTTAAGTTTTGAATGAATTATGTTTACATGGCAATTTTACTGTGGTCAGAGTAATAAATTATTTTTAAAAACTTTTCAGAAGAAAGGCTGTTTCAAACAGATGTTTAATACTTTGTCATAATAGTCAGTAACCAGTGGATCAGAGTAAATATTGTATTTACTCTAAGATCTCTCAGTAGGAAAAGACACTTACCTTCTGATTAAATGAAAACTCAAAACTTACCTTTGTAGTAATAAAGAATTTATCCAACTGTCCACTATCAACAGTATAGATTATTTAAATTGACTTTTTGACACCAACAGTTGTCAAAAAGACCCTTAATCTGTGCTTGATCTTACAAACTGCTTGAAACTTATAGTAAATTGCACATAATGAAGACTGAAGGAGTAGATAATGGTTTTGGAGCTATATTTGGTACCATACTCAACTGAAGAAGAATACAGGAATACGTCCAATCTTTTTCCCATTAAACAGAAGTGGCCTGTTTAGTATAAACAACTGCATTTTGAAGAAAGGAAGGAAGGAAGACTTAGGTTTCAGATAAGGCTTTGGGCTAAACCCAGCCGCCCTATCCACTGCGCAAATTGTTTGTTATAGAGGAAAAGCACAAAAAACAGGAATGCTGCTGCTTGCATATTGTGCCACTCTGTAATTGGAGGACAACCTCTTCTCAGTTATGTTGTAGTTCTGTGGCTTCTTACACCAGATGCACGTATGCATATTCTCTTGGGCATGAATTCAATTCTAACTCTTTTGTTTCTGGTGGGTGAAATCGGTATGTGACTTTTCTGGTAAGAAGTTCTCTTTTTTTTCCAGAATTTTGTTTGATAGCAGCAGATAGCAAAGAGTAAAACCATGTATAAAAGGGCAGGAAAAGACTGAGGAAGAGAGAAAGTGAGTTTGGGAAGTGTCAGCGAAGTGAAACTGTCAGGATCATGTGTTGAAGTTTAGTCAGGGCTGCTGGGCGCTCGATGTGAGGACGTTATTGTGACCTGCGACAGGCGCTTGGTAAGCTGCTCTTACTCCATTACATGTTTTAAGGCTTTATTTTAAAGCATTTTTACTGTATTGATGTGAACATTTGTGTACAGAGTGACAGTATATGATTATACTGGCTAGATTCATTTAATTTATAAAAAGGTTTCATAAACTTTATGACAAACTGATGACTTAAACAAAGGCAAATGGACTTTGTAGATCTTGACCATTCTCGTCTCAGGAAGTGAGTAATTATTACTTAAGATCTGCTGACAAACTCTGGGATTGCAGCAACTGAAGGCTTTGGGAGTGTAAAGCTGAACACAGCAGCCATGCATGTTTCCAGTCGTGCCTTTTAACATCCCTCAATGAGGTCAGGGGATGTCGGGATTTCGCTCACAGATGTTTGGATGTATTTGGACCTAATTAAATGACTTTACATAAAATTCTTAACTTAACACCAGTCACGCATACTGGCATGCATACTAATTAGAGCGTTAGAAAATGACAGGATATCAGAGTCAGATGACTGTCCTCAAGCATGACAATTGTTTCGTTTTGTGTAAGCATGGCTGTCATGTGGGTCAGTTTACTGGCACGTTGGTGGTCATGAGACTCCTCTGATGGTTTGCTAATGCCAGTTTGAATGTGTTTGGACAGAACTGGTGGCCTGAAAAAAAAGAACAAATGTTGTGATGTTATGCTGTTTATGTGTGTGTGTATATGTGTATATGTGTATATATATATATATATATATATATATATGTATATAAAATGTACCTTCTGGGTATGATTTCCATGCAAATGAAAGCGTATTTTAGACGATAAAAAATCATACAACCGTGTGTGTGTGTGCCGCACAGAGGGAAAACCGCCGTCTTCAGGAGGCCAGTATGAGACTGGAGCAGGAGAATGATGACTTGGCACATGAACTGGTCACCAGTAAGATTGCCCTCCGAAACGATCTTGACCAGGTAATTGTTTGAGACTAGTTTTGTTTGTAAAGCAGAATAAGAACCCAGATACTTTTTCTTTGTCAAATCAGTAAATCAGTGAAGTAAAGGCCCTGACGCAGATGTTAGTGGCCATAGATATTCAAATAAAAATGCCTCCATGTTACATGTGACTTGTTTGTACATTTCTCAATCTTTGGATTCATAATGTTCGACTGACATTTATTACAGGTTTGTGCTGACTTTTTGATGGGTATGGAATTATTGTAGCTGTAAATCAAGAGTGTGTGTGACTGTGTGTTTGTTCTCAGGCTGAAGATAAGGCAGACGTTTTGAACAAAGAGCTGCTGAGCACCAAGCAACGTCTGGTGGAGACTGAAGAGGAGAAGAGACGACAGGAAGAGGAGACGGCTCAGGTGACACTTCTCCTCCATTAACTTTCAAATGTCAAATCGCATTTAGTTTATGGAAGCTGGAACAAACCTAACAAAAATACAACATTTTAGTGAGAAACACGGTGTAAATGTTATTTGAAAGACACAATTAGTTAGAAATGACTTTCATCAATATATGTCAAAATCCCCTATATGTCAAAATCCCTTCAAAATCTCCCTATATTTGCGTCTGCTGCCCTTGTTGGGTGGTTAGCATTGGCCTAGTTATAGTTTAACCAAAAAGCAGGTCAAAATGGTTAAATACTATGGAGAAGGGGACAGATGGACACTGGGACAGTGAGAATGCAGTCGTCACAAAGAGAGGTTGACCTTCTCTGCCATTAAATTAGTTAAACAATATGTTAAATGATATGGACTGAATGGCAAATTCATCAGTCCAGGAAGGGTCCCAAACATTTTTGAAGGTTGGTCGGGTTTGAATTTTTTGTTATGAAATGAAATTATTTGAGACACGATTTTAGAGGCTAGACCTCCAGTTTGTGCATAAAGCCTTCATCCCGAAGGCCAGTATGAGAGCTCCTTGCATACACAAGATAGCCTTGGGACTGGGACTGATTCTTACAATATAAGCACATGTTGTGTACAAGACTATTCAAAGTGCTCATAAACAGTTATCTTAACAAATTAGTGTGGCATGAAATAAACATCGTACAGATAATTGTCCATTTCTTTAAATGGCCCACACTTTATAGCCCCAGTTTAACATTGTCTTGGGTCTATAAAGTGCCTTTTTTCACTTAGTCACAGGCACTCAGGCTCGCTATACAACATGCTGTGTTTGACTTCTCTACAATGTCAAACTAATGAGTAGATTGGGGTAACAGGCAGTTTAGCTGTTTGTTTAAGGACACTTAAACACAGGGGCCAAAACACCAATACGGTGCTGGTTTATTGGTTGGATGGCAACCACCGAACCAGGTGAGCCATTTATCCCTATTTCAAAAATACTGTGCTGTTGTTGTGCTTTGTTGCATGTTATGCATAATTCCATCTAGGTCTTTTTTCATGTATTTATTTATTCATGTATTTATTATGTCTAAAAGTGTTCAAAGTATTTCTTTAAATAAATAAAAAAATTTGGCAACTGAAATTATATTTAGGAAACAGATTTTAGGTTCCTAACCTCTTCTCCTTTACTTTACACCTGACATATGACCTAAAAGTATTTTGGGGTCAATATTTTGGTCAGTGAATGTCTATGAATCCCACACAGGAGTTGTCTTTTTTGAGTGCCTGTTTATGTAGGATTTCATCACCTGTACCTGTGTCTCTGTCTCTTGCAGCTGAAGGAAGTTTTCAGGAGGGAACTGGAAAAAGCAGAGTTGGAGATAAAGAAAACCACAGCAATCATAGCTGAATATAAGCAGGTAACAGAACACCGTGGACAGAAATTGTGTTTATTTGTTTTTCATCTCTTCCAGGTGCAATGTATTATATATTATTGTCAAAATGTATGAACATATTAGGGTCTGTCGTATCTTGTTGTAGTTTGAACACGTGCTCTCTCATGTAACATAACTTCCTCTCTGTTTTTCAGATCTGCTCGCAGCTGAGCACCAGGCTGGAAAAACAGCAAGCAGCTACAAAAGAAGAGCTAGACATCGTCAGGGTGAGATCACACTGTTAATGCGCAGAAAGAAACCGATGCGGGTTAGGGGACATTTAAAAGACACCACAGCATGTTACGTCAGACAATAAAATAATTTCCAGCACAGTTTTGGCTTCCAGACAAGCCCAGGTTTGTTCATCGTCACACCCATAAAGAGTTTGATTTACACAGACAATTCCACACACGTGTTTAGCCTTTGTCAAACATGTAATGTTGTTCTTTGTGGGTGGGGCATGGGACCCTTCTGATTTCCTTCTTATTAAAGTGTTTTGCAATGTCACAGTTGCAAAACACTGTTACGATGTGGTAAATTATTGAGTGAACATTTAAAGTCTCTCCTAAGCTATAAAATCAGTTAAAAAAAATAAGACGATGTGGAAAAATTACCCTTAATCTAAGGAATAAAAAAAAATCTACGACTTCCTGCTGTGCTGTATAACCACAGCTCCAACGTGTCTTGTTTTTTTCCTTACAATAGATTATGTTTAATCGTGCGTGGCTGAGTTAAGCCATTCCTCTAGTGTGCTGAAATGGATGCTGTGTCAAGGTTGACTTTGTCCAGAAACTATTTTTAAATTTAGTGATTTTTCTGATGCATGCAAATGCAGCAGCATGTTTATGCACCAGTGGCACCATGTGTGCTTTTGTATCACATGCAGAATAAGGTCATGGGCTGTGATCACTGCAAGGACCTGTTCGGCCCTCTGGGGTCCCTCCAGGCCTCCTCCCCGGGCAGTGACAGGACATCGAATGAACCACTGGATGAGGAGAAGGACGGGCTGAAGGAGCAGCTTCGACAGCTGGAGCTGGAGCTGGCACAGACCAAACTGCAGCTGGTGGAGGCCAAGTGTCGCATTCAGGTGAGCAGCGCCAATATTCGTAATAACCTTAGGGCAGTCAGTCCGTTCCAGAAGTAAAGAAACAGATTTAAGTGAAGCTGACATGAATGGCAATGTTATTGAAAAGGTTAATGTCTCTATTTCTAAGTAACATCTCACTCTCACAGTTTACTGCTATTTATTCCAACCTTTCTGTTGCTTATTTGTGAAAAAGGCAAATACAAGGACAAACTGCACAGGTTAACTTAAAAAAAACACAGAAACAGCATGCTTACAAAAAAAAAAGAGCTTTTCAGACAGGAGCAGAACAATTAGAATAAGTTTATGCTGTCAGTTTGTTAGAATGTTGAAAGCTTAAATCATCTTAGAGGCATCTTAAACAAAACACTGTGTGTGATGTACAGTATGTGTGATGATCACAAACTGTGGCTGAGGGGGGAGTTGTCATACTGTCTAAAGAGTGCGCTGGTACAGAAAAGGAAAGGAAGAAAGTAATTTTTTTCGAGAAAATTTGTGAAAAAAAGATAAACCAACTTGATCAACTTCATGCAAAAACCCTTTTCTTTTCGGAAAAAAATCATATTAATGAATGTATGAGAGTATACCGACTCCCTGAAAATGCCATTGCCTGGTTTGAAAAGGCTGTTGCTGTGCGGTTGTGTAGACTTGTCTAGAACCCTGATTGTGGTGCTGACTGAGCGCTGCTCCTTTCGCTGCTCTGCAGGAGCTCGAGCATCAGCGGGGAGTCCTGATGACCGAAGTCCAAGCCGCCAAGAACTCTTGGTTCAGCAAAACCCTGGGCTCTCTGAAAAGTTCTGCCTCCTCTTCCTCCAGCTCTGCATCACAGACCCCTTCCTCTCCGAAGGATGGGCCTGCCTAGCTGAGCCCCCCTGAGCATCTCAGTCCCCCCCCTGGCAGGATGCCCCTCTAGAACTGAGCAGCACGAGCTGAAGAAGCTAGCAGAGGAAGAATGCAGTATTCCTTTTCTGGCAGGTGGCAAAAATGGAGCGTCCCGGCTTCCTGAGCTGGAAACAGCTGAAAATCGGGGTGCCGGGTCACTTGCGCAGCCACCTGTGCTGGAGGCGATTAAGTGTCTGTTGACCTTCTCCGCTTCACAGGTAATGTGACAGGTGAGAGGGGAAGCTTTCCTGAGGTGGTCGCTGCTGAGTCAGCATGTGTAACCTGTCTTACTGATCAGTTAGCGCCACCTTGTGGACACTCATCTCTCCTTATCTGAGTTGAATTATGTTTCTGTTATGCTGAAAATGAAACCTGCAGTCCAACAAATAGAACAAATAGATTTGTAATGATGGTGATGCATCTCTGTTACTGGGGTATTACATATTTACTGTCTAAATATGTAATGACCACCGCTGACTACCTTCAATGCAGACATGCCCCAGCACTGAAAAAGGAATACTGCATACAGATGTGGAGAGCAACGCAAAAGTTGCATTTCTTTATAGTAATATAACATAAACAATGTTGTCATATAAATGTGTATAACTAATTATTGAATTTTTAAAATGACCCTGTACAGTTCTTTAAGAGGAAAACCTCCTCCTAGATTTCTTTTGTACTGTTTGAATGTCATCTCTGTAGATATTGACTTAAGCACAGTGTGTGATTGATGTGGTCGAGTCCAAACACTGAGGAGCCAAAGTGACAACCTGCAGGGATCCTTTTATCAGTTTCCCCATGTTTTTTTTGTTTTTTTATATTTTGAATGAAAGCTGAGCACAAACAGCGTCTTTATCTACCAGCTTTATTTGGTCATTTTGTGTCATCTGTAAGGGTACGGATTGCAAAAGAAATGCACTCTTTTCTGCATCCGCTCCGCAAATTTAAACAAGCTACAAAAAACATTTCCTCTGGTCGCATATGTTAAACCATTTTCTGCCCTTCACGTGTGAGTCTGCATTATGTAACAACACCAGAGCTGAGAAATATCAGTTACACGGAGTGGTTGATCCCTAGATAAGCACCTATCGTCTCGGAACATGATGCGGTAGAAGTATTACCCAGTTATTGCCAAACAGTCATGAATGGCTGTGCCAACACTCCCCACTGCTGTTGTTGTGGCCATTTTTTTCCTCGCATCTCCTCACCTAGTGAGGGTGCAGAAGTCTTGTCTGTCCACTGTGGATTCTCCACTCAAACCTAACCAAGGGGAAACAAACAGTAATAGGGTTCCACAAAAGAAAACTAGAGCTAACACTAAAACGTCTAGAATGTTGTCCCCTTCAGATGATGGTTTGTTAAGCGTAGGGGGCGCCGGGATATTGTTGCCAAAGAGTTTAGTCTGAATGGAGCGAAAAGGCGCTTTAGAACCATGCTAGGAAGCAACAGTGTAGGTGCCAACTCAACGTCTTTATTCTCCACTCTGGTTGACACTGAAATCAGCCTTTGGACTCAGACCAATCCACGTGTACCTTTTGTGTGGGCGTGTTCGAATGTGTGTGTGTGTGTGTGTGTGTGTGTGTGTGTACTCGTGTGCTCCGCACTGTAACTCGAGTTGCTGAAGTTGAAATCTTCTTCACGTGGCTGCCTTTTTTCGTTGATTAAGTAGCTGGCTAAAGAGAAAAAAAGAAGCCATCTGGCTGTTTAAACTGGGTGTGAGCTGTGCCAGAAGGGCCTCTCCATGGTCTTCCTCTGTGCTCCCAACCATCTGCGCCAACCTCCCAAGACCCGCGTCTTTTTCAAACTCGTAGAAAAGTCTGCTGGAACATCTCTTTAGGCTGCATTTGGAAAAAAAAAAAGAGGAGCAAACAGAATAGCACTGATTTCCAGGTGTGTTTTGCAATTTCAGGACATTCCTCCTTCACTGTTGTACGTCCTTGTCGTCGGTTTATTCTGTGAAAGTTGTGCAGCCAGTTCGATGTTAGCTGTGGCCAAGCTGGAGAGGATCTCCCTGTCTTTCATGTGCACTAACACGCCGATGTTTTAAACACTATTTTAAAATTCCGTCTGTTTCTAACTGATGACCGCAGCTTATAGAGACAGCTGCCAATTTGTATTCCGGTCTAACTCCTTTCAGTGATGCAAAAAGCAGGTGGCGATTCGGATGGCAGGTGTGCGTCGTGTAGTTTACACTTTGTTGTAGCACCACAGTACGTTTACACAGGTAGGGGCTGATCCTCAGCTGGACCGACTCCCGACACTTGTTTCCCTGAACCGTAACTGTGCGAGCTACATTAATAAACGTCAGTTCCTCTGTTTATTCAGACGCTTTGAGATTTCATTAAAAAGCACAACACTGGTTCATCTCCCTCCAACACTGCAAGTATGAAACACGTTGTATTGTAAACAGTTGTGCCAATTGGATTTTTTTTTTTTTCTAACTTTTAAGGAGATTCAATCCGACCAGTTGCACTTTTTAGCATCCCACCCACAAATGAAAGCACAAACTGAATGCACATGAAGTGTGCATTTCTTTGACCCCATAAAGATTCATTTTATCTTAAGGAACTAACAGTATGATAAATGCTCATCAGGTATAAGTAAGTTCTTATTTTGTTAGCGCTCACAGTCACTGCAGCCTCTGTTATCTGTACGCTGGACATAGAACAAAATATCTGCATAAATGTTCAATTCTCTTGAGAAGAGTTGTCATGTAGCTCAAACTGCTTGTCATACTAATAAATTGTATTGTGCTGAAACGTCCCTCTGAGTTTGTCATTTTATCAAATAATCTGCACGAAGAAAGTTCAGTTTATTAGGCAAAAGTGTTACAAATGTAGGAATTCGAAAGAACCTCAAATGTGAAAGCAAAAAAGGAGTTGGATGTTGAGGCCAAGCGGCATGCGGCATGCCACTTGGCGGCATGCGATTACGTACTTGTAATCGTAAGTTGACAATTTCAGGAATTTGGAGATAAGATTTGACTTCCTAATTGTCGGACTTGAGTTTAGAAGAAGAAAGTTTGCTAAGCCAACATTACAACCAATCCAAAACTTCAAGTGGATCAGAAATGAGCAACACTCTACTTAAGCTATTTATCAATCCTGACAGGACACCCTTACTAGTCTGAACATTTACCCTTCTTATCTTGCGACAGGAGGATTAGGAAAGAAGTAGCTATTTTAAAGTGGATACTGGATACATTCTGAAAAGTTTGGCATGCTATAGTTTTCTGGATGGTAGGTCATTGCAGACTGCTAATCTTTGGTTTCAGTCCTGCTCAGTTGGTCACTGAGCTCATCAAAGTAGTTATCCACAAAGCGAAACATCTGAATGACGGCGCTGAGCAGCAGGATGTCGCAGTTCAGGTCCAACTCCAACTCCTCACTGTAGTTCTTCACTGGAACCACGCAGGACAGTGGCACACCGAGCCGGGCGCTGACCTCTTGCACCTGGGTCACAAAACACAGTGCGAGACTACCTAAATTCATATTCAGGTGCACGAGCGCAAAAGGATTCAAACAAACCACTTAAGAGGGAAATCTCTATCTCAAAAGTCACGTTTCTGTCGCACACAGTCGAGCTATTCTCACCAGCTCTTTAATGTAGCCACTGTGGTAGACTTTGGTCACATCCTCCCCCACCAGTGGGCAGGCTTCGTCTACTTTGGTAAGCAGAACCAGCTGAGGAATCCCTGGGGAACGAGCAGAACGAGCATTTCAACCCACTCCGTATTCTGAGGTCCAGAACGATGTTTCAAATATCTTTCATCAGCTCGTTGTCAGTGATTAAGGACCCGTTCTACCGACCCATCGAGTTGACCTTTCTGCGAATAGCGTCCAGTTTCTCCTCCAGCTTTGCAGGCATGATGGAGATCTTGCAGGCATCAAGAACATAAGCCACACAGTGGATCTTGTCTTTGAGACCCGGGTTCTTGCGATAACCATGAACCTCTGACTGCAGAGGAGCAGACGGGTTGAACTGAGTCAGCGTTTAAGAGAAAAGAAGAGAACAGTCCAAGTTAGCCCCAACCAGATCCATGTCCCTGGCAATACCCTGCAGAATGTAGTTGTACCTGATAGCGGTCGAGCAGGTGGCCATTAAGGATGCTGCTGATGTCATCTATATCAAGCCCTGCCCCTTTTCCTTCCTCCAGCCCCATGGTGTCACACAAGATGATTGGCAGAGGTTTGCCTTCTCTTCCAGCTTTCAGAGAATAGGTGCGAAACTGTCAGGAAGAGGCCAGAAAAGATGCTGGAACGTTTTTACATTTGCATATAAAACCATTGAAACAGAAATGACCAAGAGGAGGACGCTGACCTGAGTGGTGAGGCTGGTGGCTGAGCTGCCAGACATGGCCTGGCTGGTGACGTGGCCTCTAAACACTGAGTTGATGGAGTTAAAGAAGCTGGACTTTCCAGCTCCGACTGGTCCAATGAGTAAAACCCGTGCCTGGGACACAGAACTGACCAGGGGTTTGTAGGATTTAATGCTCTCCATCAGCTCGTTCCTCTTCCTGAACAAATTCATGAAGAAATTCCAATGAGACTTTTTTTTAAGACGTTGACACAAATTTCCTGAGGTCTCGCTGAACTGTCTCAGACTCAGAATAAGATTTTGAGCATTATGTCTCTTGGTTTTAGTACAGTAGCCCTTATTCATAGCATATTCTTCCACATAATGTCTCCTTCAGAAGTTCACTGTTTTCACTGTTACATGCTGGTCTTCATAGTAACATCTGTGGATGTTGGTAAGGTTGGACAATTTTACTAGTTAATCTTATGAATGAAGATCACAGCCATCAAAAATATAAATTACATTATTCCAGTATCATCAAAGCATATTGTTGCATGTTATGACTGGTGCAACATATTCACTAGCCCAGGTATTCACTTTGCATTAGATTTGTCTATATCAGTGTGTGTGTGTGTGTATGTGTGTTGATGAGGTGTGCCTCTATTCGTCTTACTTTGATTCCCAGATTATATTCCTCCATGGCCTCTCAAGTTCAGTGGTTTCTGTTTAAGAGTGAAACAAATTTATACAATATTAGTGAATCAGTGAGAAATGTATTCAGCTTTAGTTATTTTAGTGGTTTTACAGGACTTCTCAATTAGTAAAATATGTTAATATCATATTAAACATTACTAAAACCATTTCCTTTTTCATGGTGAAATAAAAATCTCTGCCCTCTCCTCACAGCTTATATTCTATTTCAGACAGAATGTCTGCTTATTAGTTTATGTGTTTCTTAAGTACGTCACAGCTTTAAATGCCATATAATGAATTCAGAAACGTTTCTGACGATTCAGATGAGTATCTATGACAGACTCCTAATACTCACGCTCGATCTGGTAGACTTCACACTCGGTCAGGTTTAGGTCGTTCCCGTGCATTTCTGCAGCTTGGAAGTTATAGTAACTACCTGGTTTGCTGTACACAACTGGCTGGCTTCCATGTAAAAGAATCAGTGTTTCTCCAAAATAAGGACCAGAGTTGCCGACCATTTTCACTGCATACGTAGCATTCATAACTGGATATTTGTGGAGCTTTTCTCCTCTAAAGGTGAAAAGAAAGGCCTGATCATCACTCACATATGTTCCAGACTGACTGAAAGGTTGTCTGGTGTAGCCCCCAAACACATAACCAGAGGCGTTATAGCCCACAGACAGTGTTGGGGAGCGGTTGTCACATCGCTGGTGGAAGGCTGCTGAGGTGAAACCATGAACGCTGGCTTTGTACAACAAATTTAGCTTGACACCGTGCAGCTGAGAGCTTATTGTTCTCTGCTGGCTCACGGTTAGCTGGGATTTCAGATTAGACATATCTGGTCTGATGATGTGTTTGCTCAGGACGGAATCTACAAAGAACAAACAGAGGGGAAAGAAGAATGAGAAAATTATATAGCAAATCAAATGTCCGATATCTGATTTGGGTCAGCATTAATCACAGCTAAAACAACCACTGTTGCAACTGGAGATCGCCACTGTGTTATTTATGAGTTATTTTACATAATTATCCACAATCCCTGATAGGCTTATAAAAGCATTAATGGGCTGGAATTATTGTAATAATGTAATAACTTTGTTACCTGCTGTTTTTAAAACGTTGCATCAGTCTGAACAATAATATACATCATCTTACTTCAGATTATGGCTGATTATTTCAATGTTTGAATTGATATGAACACATTATGGGCATCATTAAATGGATTCAGTCTGTTGTGATAGTTACTTTTATCATAGTAAAGTTGTTTTTTGCGAGGGATTTTTTTTTTTTACATCCAGCCAACTATTGAATCCACTTCAATGTTTTTTTTATTAATTTTTTATTTAAAAAACAGGCTCCTTTTGTATATTAAAACGATGTATCCACCGATTATGATGGTGATAAGTTTCGATTTCCTGCGAAGCTGGAACCCGCCCCTAAAAAGTTCAATAACCAGTCCTAAAAAGATCGTATTCAATAAAAACAAAAATCAGATAACTCTTTCGCATGACCTGTCCATGCTTTTCTATACAGCCTAATTATTTAGTTTATTTAGTTTATTTTCAAGCTCAAATGTGCTTATAGCCTATATGGTTATATGTGATCGAAAATCAAACGTTAAATCGAACGTAAAGTATAACATCTAAATGCGGATGTTTAAGCACCCAGTTATGGACCCGGCCCCATGCGGACTTCTTACCTTCTCCTCCTTTATGCAGATGTGTGAGGGGAATATGTCAGACAGCGGTCTGGTCAGAGTCCTTCTTGTTGGCAGAAATGAAACTAAGATCTGTGTGAGAGAGGCGGGGCACACCAAAATGGAAAGCCAACCGATTTGAGTCTTCAATTTTTTTGCTCTGTTAAACATCAGAACACCTCCCCATCTCAACCACCGTGCAGGTGTTGTGAAAAGAGTTTCTGATGGGATAGGACACGACTTACAAAAATGTGAAGGGCATCTTAACCTGAATTATCATTTAAACAAATTATGAATTGAGAAAAATAGAAGTGGGATTAAAGTGGATGTTTTCTAAAAAAAAATTGCTTATGAATCAAACTGTTTATATATCAGTCACTATGTGATATTAAGTATCATTTTCAATCTGCACTGGCCATCAGAAACACTGTGGCAATAAAAAAATACAAACCCCAGACCAAAACGGATCCAAATGACTGTTTATTTGTGTGAATCAAAATTCTTTCTTTGGACTTCACAAACATTAAGGCTTTAACATTTAAAAATTCGAATCTAAAGCATAAACCAAACCATTAACCTAAAATAACCCTAAGTCTGGATTTCATGGCATAAAACAACAAGCTCAGTTAACCAGATGAAAGAGCAACGTTTCTGAATTATCTGGGTGTAGTATAAAATAAAAAAAATGGCACACACTCCCCCAAACGAAGTAAAGCTTCTCTTTTAAACCGGCAACACCGACACACAGGTCGAGATCTGGTATCTCAAACTTCAGTGAAACTTTGGGACTGTGAGTCGTGGTTTAAGGTCTTTGAAAAACAGGTCGGCGTACTGCAGGATGTGGTCCACGGCACTCAGCAGCAGCACGTCTGTGTCCACATCCACGTCCAGCTCTGCGGCGTAGTTCTTCACTGGGACGATGTAGGAGGGGGACATGCCCAGCAGAGCCGCGGCTTTTCTCATCTGCAAACACACATCTCGTCAGGGTCATCAGCGGGCGGCAAACTGTACCAGTCCAAGCATGTTCGGTTTCCTTAATAAGTCGAACGGTTGAATATTCACTGCCTTGTGTCGAATGTTTCGAGGTTTCTGTCAACCTACTGTATCTTGAATGCCTCGGCTCTTGTACACCTGAGACATATCTTTGGCCGTTTCTGGACAAATGACGTCAACGTGGGTCAGCAGAGCCACCTGATGAACACCTAAAAGACAGAAATACAACCACTTGTGCTAAGAAAAGGCTGAAATGTAACGATCTAAAGAAAAAGACAACAGAAGTGCATGCTCACCTAGCTCACTGATGTGCTCCCTGAGCTTTTTAAAGGTGGTGCCGAGGCCTTTAGGGTAGTTTGCGATCTTAGAGGCGTCTACCACGAAAGCAACACAGTGGATTTTATCCTTGAGGCTGGGCGTCTTCACATAGCCAAATGTATCCGAGGTCACGGGCTTATCTGGGCTAAACTGAGAGAGAGTGAGAGACATTTTGTGTAGCAGCAGTCTGTCTGCATTGATATTTTCCAGTATGACATCACAAAGCAAATTTCATATTTATCTTACCGCATTCATTAGAAAAACCAGATTTGATTACTTTTTTTTGCCACCACAGAAAAAGTTGGGATTGCTTAAGTAAGAGAGATGCATCTTAATCGTATAGAACGTTGCTTTTATTTGCGTTTGACCCGTTTTTTTCCACAAATCTCCCAAACTCCAAACTCCAACGCAAATCTCCCAAACTCCAACTGCATGAATCTCTGCTCTGAGTCTTCCGTCTCGTCATCATTTGTATGAGCTATACTGACCGCCCTGTTAGCTGCTCGGTCTGATGACCTGCTCTTTTTAAAAAAAAATCTTTCATTAGTTTCTTTTAGTAACTTTTTGTTTCCACCTCCTGGTGCAGTTTTATGCACTCACTAGTACTGCAATTGTTTTTTTTAAACCATATTTCCAAAGTCTATGTCCCCCGAACTACAACTTTGTGCAATATTTGTGGAAATAGTTAATAGTACCAGTTAACCCAGCTTACCTTGTGCCCCTCTGGCACGTGACCCTTAACGACGGACAGGATGTCATGAAGGGTCAACCCGGTCATCTCGCCATCCCCCAGACCCATAATATCACACAGGACCAGCCCGGTGTTCTCCTCGCCCTTGGCGCCCTGGATGTTGAAGGACTGGAGCTGCAACAGGTCAAATAAAAGTGCAACAGAAAGATAAAAGCTATGGATAACCACCTCGATACACTCAATAACACCTGATCTTTAGGTCTGGCACCGGCAATGTATTCAGATCAAGATGTCCATATTCAGTTTTTCATTAATATTTTTGAAATTGTGGACAACAGAGGACACTTGAAAGATCATAAGACCTTTTTCTAAAATTGGAATTGTTTACTGTATGTACTGAAACAGACACAGGCCATCGTAAAGCTAAATGGGATCCCACAAGGACCCTCTGTTAAGAATAAATAAATCTGTGGCTGTACCAGATTTACCTTTTTAGTAAAGCTGGTCAAATAGGAGCCCACCATGGCACGGTTTGTAACTCTTCCATTGAACACCGACTGGACGGAACTTATGAAGCTGGACTTCCCGGAACTGACCGGGCCCAAAAGGAGAACCCGAGCCTGGGTCGCCTCCTCACAAGTCGGCCTGTAGGAGCTCACGGTCTTCATCAGGTTTTTCTTCTGCCTGGAAATGAATAAACCATGATGGCTTTGATCTTATAATCATTCAGATGGTTTGAATAGAGAAAGATGAGCAATTTCTTTATGCGAAGGAAGAACAGCAACCCAGGTTTACTCACTCTTCTGTCCATTTCACGTCCCTCCACTGAGAATCCAACTTTGTGATCCCAACATTTCCAAATACTGAAAAATGAACAAGGAACACTGAATATCCACAACATTCTGTGAGTTGTGGACATTAAAACTAGTGTGCACTGGTCATTTGACGCAGCCCTGAAGGCTGATTAAATATTTACTCTCACGCTTCTAATTTCCACATTCTGGTTTGTGTTCATGATCACCGCATATTCATGGTCATAAGCACCCTTTGATAAAAATCCTGGAACGTCAGCGACTCACCTGGGGTTTCAAAAGTTGCACCCTCCTTTTTCACTGTTGAGCTGGGGGCTACATCTTTGTCGGGGATCTCTTTGACCAAGGCACCCAGGTTAAACAGAGGTTTAGGATCAGGGTTATTAATATGGTTAAAATTAAAGCTGTGGGGAAAAAAAATCCAGGAAAGAATTAAAAGATGTGATATTTTTCATTCAAGCTTGGGTGGCAGAGGAATCAGTAGACCTTAAACATCAGAAAATACATTAGACTAAAGGTCTTCTCTGCTTAAAGTGGTTTTTAAAAATGGTTATTTCATTATTATCTTACTCAATTGAAACATTTTAAATAATGTCAACAATGGCTAGAATTGGACATCTTTGAACTATAATGGCAACTTATCAGAGCAATCGATGTCATTTTCAAATTCCCATATTGGTTAAAAAAGGGCCGGAGCATCTCTCGCTGAATTTAAGAATCTCTTAAAACTGTAACCTAGTTACTTTAGCACCGAGTTTGGTTTTGTTTTGATCACTAATTCTCATGTCATTTCAGATATGGACCTTCCCTGTCATGCAATCACTCATTCCCCCTCACCTGCTTCTCTCCACCCATCTCTTCACCTGCTGTCCATTAGCTCATTTGGTCTTCAGTATTTATACCACTCCATTTCCACTTGTTCCCTGCCAGATTGTCTTGTGTTTTTTCGTGCCAAGAGTTCCCGCATTTTCCTGTTCTGACCTCGCCTTTGCCCTCCTCACACCTCAGATTCCTGCCTGCATTGGATTTGTTTCCCTGTCTTAATGATCTCCTGGTTTTGACCCTGCCTGTTTTTGGACTAAGTAAACGGGTTTTCCCTTTAAACTTGCTTGCCTGGTTGTCGTGCGTTTGGGTTCTCTGTTGCCAGGACCAGTCGTTGTGACAAAAACTCTTCTTAAATCTAAAAAAAAATCTCCCTAAAAAACTGTTTGTGTAACTTCTAAGCCAGTGTTAAAGTACTTCCCTGTGTACTGTTGGAACATGGAAAAATGTTAATGAAAACCAGATTAACAACCATTACATGATCAAATGCCCCCTATTGTAGCACTGATAAAACACAACAGTATTCATTCCATATCATCATTAATAGATCATGATTTTTAACATTAGATGCTAAACATTTTGAGAATTCTATGGTGGGGCATTGCAAGAAAATACACAACCTGCCTCACTCTGCTTCCTTGGTCAAAACATTAACTTCACAGCAAACTTGCCACTTTGAGACAGAGAACTTAAACCCAGCATTGAAAAGACCTTTAGTCCGATTTTATATACATTTTTGTTTAGTTTTTTTTTCTTACACAGACTGCAGATGTCTACGCACATTTTGCAAACTGGGCATAAGATTCCCAGGCAAGAAATCAACAGAAAAAGAAAACTCTATCCAAAACCCAACAGGGCGACATCCACCCGAAGGTGATGACATGAAAAACTAACGTACCCGGCTTTTCCAAAGGTTTGTTTCGCCATAACCACGTCGGGATGCAGACACAAAGCAATTCCCCGCAGACAGACTGAATCTATTTGATGCTTAAAGCATTAGTATCTTTTTATCAGGAAACGAAAGTGAAACTGAGCCTTTCAGTAACAGATTCAGAGCTGTCAGATCAGTAGGCCCAAATCTGCAAAGTCCTGAGATGTTTTTGGGAGAGCCAATGTCTTCACTCATCATTTAGTTGACCTAAAAAAAAAAGCAGCTTGGGGTAAATAAAATAAATAAATACATTCAAAATATCTTCATTTTCTCTCTTCTTTCTTGTATTGCGTTGTGAGAAGATGTGAGTGCCACTAGGTGGCCCCGGATCACATGCAATTGGATGGTGAGGGACTGGATCCGTTTTTTTTTTTTAGCTCTTGTGGCCTTTGCATGACACTTAACATGATGTTTGAGCTGAGACCATTCAAAGAGGACAGCATCAGAGCTTTTTAGATGTTTCCCCGCTTCAGCACACCCGGCTCACACCAGTGCTCCATTTGCAGGCCAGTGCAGAGCTCAGGAGTTGATCCATTCCATCAGAATCTGGTGTGCTGACTAAGGGAAACTGGTTCATGTTTCATGGCATGTTTCCTCTGCTCTGTGTCACTCTTTGTGGGGTGCTGAAAACCCACCCTGGTGAAAATGTCCTAGGAAACAAAAAGACGAGATATGAGAATCCAATTTTTTACGGCCTTTACATTTACTTTTTTTTTTACCTCTCAAAGAATTGTGAACAATAAATTACTTTTGCAACAATTTAAGTGTTTCTGTCTGTTTTCTTAGCTGACTATAGGAAGTGGAATTTAGTTGGTGTGGTTTTAAACAGAACAACTATGTATATATACAGTATATCAATCGCAGACCTCTTGCCTTTGGTTGTGTTGATTGTATTAATTTCCTCACTAGAGGGAGCTCTATTCTTTAGCTGAGAGCTGTGGACTTTTACCTGCTGATTGACAGCAGGGGTCAACCTGTGGCCACTCTTCTCATTTTATCCCTCACTTACAGACAGTACAGCCTGTTACCCAAAACGTTCCCACATGCTCAAAGAAAAACCTGCCCTTACATCACTGCCATCACTCAGGAGGTTTTAATAACTGGAGGATATTTTGCTCCGAATATCCATTTGTAATTAATGGTGCTGATTGTTGATACTTGGAAAGATACTTTCTTTGGGACCAGGAGTGTGTTTGTTTAGTATTTTAACCTGAATTTAATTCACACAAACAATCACATAGCACACATTCTTAGACATAAACACTGTATATACAGAATGTAGCTCTTGCCTGTACACGCAAACACTGGGTAACATTTGAGATCCCAGTGGAGTTAAGTGTCCTTCCCAAGGGCACATTTAGAGACAGAGACACTGCTGACCAAAGTGTTGACCTTTCAGTTCCTGTTCTTCCTGCTCTTTTGTTCCTTTGGGTTACTTTGGAGGCAATTACCTTTGCATGTGACAGAAATGTCAAACTAATCTATTGAAGACTAAGCCTGGATTGATTCTAATGTAATTGTACTTTGTTTAATCATGTAACACTGTCATTCTGGTGCTTTTTAAAGATTGTTTTTATGTCAATCATTGCAGGTTTTAAGTGTTTTGCAAAGGTTCAAACAAATGCGGTCTGATGTTAAAGAATTTAAATTTATCTTTTATCCTTTATTATATTCCATGAACGTAATAGCTGCATTTTATAATATGTAGTTGGACGTATTGTTGTTGCATGTCTTTGTGATAGGTTAGTATCATGCACTCACTTAAAACTTGGGACTTAAAAATATCGACGTGTTAAGTTAATGGTTGGTAGAATGTGTAACGATGTGCAGTGGATCTTTATTTCGTGCATTTGCTGATGCGGACCTGAGCAAATTGGAACAGGTATGTTTTTTTAAAAACAGTGCTCATTCTTTCAGTTTTCACATCAAATATAAAGTGAGTGTTTCCCTTTTAATACATTTGATCTGTTCATTTTCATTAGAGTACAGCTTTCCTGATAAATAGGGAGTTATTATCAGTTATAATCTGTTATTCTGTGCTTTGCTACCTTACTTTAAGAGTTTCTCCTCCATTAAATGTTTTTATTCTCCCTTTGGAACATTTTGTCCCCCTCCCCATGTGCACTTTTCCAGCTGCAGGTTACATCTATCACCTGACGACTGGATGAGCCATCACCAGATCTTTTGTAGGTGGTTACCTACACAGCTGCAACCTGCTCTGCTGATTTCACAAGAGCAAATTCCTTAAAATCCTGACCATCGTGTATTTTATGAGACCAATTTTTTTTCCCCTTTGAAACTGGAGACATTACCAATGAACGGCAAAAGCGTTTCCAAGCTTAACACCCGTGAAAATGAGGAAATGGACCCGTTAAAACGTTTGCACGGGTTCGGGAGGGGCCACCTGCACGTGGCCGGCTTCTTGCGACTGAGGCCACTACCGCCGCCTGCCGTGTCAGCAAAAACCACAGTCTTAGTTTTCATTTGTGGCACCTCTCTTGTGTGGACTTGAACATTCTGTTTATTCAGAACGAGAGGACGGCATGATAGCTGAGAAACTGCCAGTGGCTCTTCGGTAATCCAAACCGAGGCTTACAAGAAGTCTGACACATCACTTAAAGTTAGAGTTTGAGCTACTTTGTTATTTTGAGGTGAATCTGAAATGTAACCTGCCGCAGCATTGAGGTCATGAGCGTGTATCATTAGACGTGAGTGTAACTGTTGATTATTTAACAGAAAGTGCCATATATAGCCTGATTTCATCCTGTGGATGGAGGAGGTAGCGAAAAACCTTCCCGCAAACCAGGGATCATTAAAAAGACAAGAACCACGTAATTTTCTGGTTGCAAATTCCAATCATAGTAAATTTGGGTCATGTATTTAGAAATGTGAATAATGAAACTTAAGCAACCCAGAGTTTACTCTGGGATGTGGACAGGCTTTAAGAGATAAGAAGGTCATGAGTTTTGATGATCAAGACCTGGTTTTGTTAAATTAATCAAAGTGATCTCTCAGTTATTTTATAAGATACAGTTAAGCTTGAAATTATGGAATCATAAAGTGGAATTTAGGCAACAACACAAACTGTATCATGTTAACATCATTTGGAAAATCTCCACACCTGCCGCCACATGCTGAACAAGTATTCACTCATTTTGTGTAATCCATATATGGATACTAGTCAAGCTCAATCAAAGCTGACATGTGCAATCATAAAGGTGACAAATTTAGCTTTATTCAAAATGAAATAAATGGTCTCCATATGAAAAACATCTGAGCCCCTTTCCCTACAATGTGCAAAGCTTTTGGTTTTAGCCGGTGTCTAATAATGATGAG